GAGTAACCCTAACCCTAATCCCAATTTTCATCTGAAACAATATTATATTATATTGATATTCGAGGCTTCTACAATACCATTGAAATAAATGCAGCTGCCTGCGATCAATATGAGACAATATCGTATGCCCACTTAACATAAACAGTAACACTTTTATGAACTCACAATAACAACTCAAATATATTTTGACGATTGTATCACTGGGCTAGAAGGAAATGGAGACACCAACGTTTGCATGGGAATTTCAAAATAAAGTGCATCTGAAAGATGAGTTTTAGCCTTTGCATTGAAGATATTGGATCGTTGACCATTGATAACGAATAATATATTATTTTCCCCGTCAGATGTGTTCTTCGTGTCACCGGCCGGGCGCTACTATTGGCTGTGACGTGAAGACGTGCCGGAGGACGTACCACTACTACTGCGCTTTGAAGGACAAAGCCCATGTCAAAGAGAACCCCTCACAGGGGATCTACCTGTAAGAAGCCCCGCTGTGGACATTTCTTTACATACATCTACAATAAATGACAACACATTTTGTAACAACTATTAAATTAAAATGTTTTTTTTTCTTCTATAACAGTATTTACTGTCGCAAACACCGGGATGCCTCTCACGAAGGCATTGAAGGTAAAATATGCCTCATCATATGTCATATCACCAAACTGCCTGGATGATTGGATTAATGGCTTGATGCCTGTTTCTGAAGGAATTCCTCTTTAATCCTTACATACACATACACAGCAACACACACAGTGACATTTAGTTTCTGCATTTAAACCCATCCTAGTACCCAAAGAAGTAGGCAGCTATTATACAGGGCCTCGGGAACAGTGTGAGGGTCCATTTTCTTGCAACTAGTACCAGTTCACTCTTCATTCCTTCATCATTGTATTTGTACTTCTTGATGTGATTTACTTTCCTGTTCTTTGCATGTATGCTTCTATTTACATAAAAGTTTGTCCTGATCATGACTGTTTGTTCATAATCAGATGAAGAGGAAGCTGTGGCTGACGAATCAGACGCGTCGCCTCCACAGAGCAGGGGCAGAGGGAGGTTTGAGAAGGGCAGATCCAGGGTGGGACCTCGTGGCCAATCGGAAGACAGCCGCTCCACCTCCTCACAGGTGGCAGACGAGGAGAGTTCCTCCCATGTAAGGCAACACGCCTGTTTGTCAAATGTTTAAAATTATCGTGATTTGGTGTCTGATTTTTAATGCTTTTACATGTTTTTCCAGCGGGACAGGTCTCCTCTTCGGTCCAGCCCGGGAGACGGCGGCCAGCGCTGCGGCTTCTGTCATGCCGGAGAGGAAGAGAACGAAACGAGGGGCATGCTTCACTCCGATAACTCCAAAAAAGTGGCGGCACACTACCGGTGCATGGTGAGAATCTTGTGTGTGGGGATGTCTGCAGAACATTTAAAGCCGTTTAATGTGCATTTACAGTACTGTACTAACACTCAGTAATTTATTACCTTTTCAGCTTTTTTCATCGGGGACAGTGCAGCTCACCACCTCGTCACGGGCCGAATTTGGAAACTTTGAAGTGAAAACAGTCATCCAGGAAATCAAGAGAGGGAAAAGAATGGTGCGACGATTTGTCTTACTTCTCATTTGTTTTGAAATATTTTAAATACTACGTACATTCTGACAAAAATTGTGTTCCTATTCCAGAAATGCACACTCTGCTCTCAGTTGGGTGCAACCATTGGGTGTGAGATTAAAGCGTGTGTGAAGACCTACCACTATCACTGCGGCCTGCAGGACAAAGCCAAGTACATTGAGAACATGGCGCGTGGCATCTACAAGTGAGCTCAAATACAGCTTTTAAATTTGATCAGTTCAAAATATATTGCATTAGCTTTACAACCAACACGAGCCAATTGAGGCTGGATCACACAGCCAATGCTATTTATTCCATTCAGAGACTTCTTTTGAATGATTTGTATTTCATCCAACCACAAATGTGAAAAAGGGTGATATTAAAAGTAGTCGGAAGGAGTTTTATTGTAAACACACATTTTATGTTACCCGCAGAATATGCAAATATATTGGACGTACGTTGTTTTATTTTATTTTACATTTGTAGGATGTGCAAGTCCTCCTCCTGCCTGTCTATGAAACATTTACATTTTACATGCGTACCCACCAACGGCTGTTTGTCAATGGCCCGAAACTAGCAGCAGGAATGTGTATTGTGCCACCCTTGGTAGAAACTCCATGGAGCACCTTTAACTCTACGTCTTCACACCTTAACTGGACCACATTTCACCTCTTTTGCAATAACTGATAATGTTGGCTATTACTGTGTTTTGTGACTTACAAGCCCTTCTTTGTATGTGTGTGTGTGTGTATTTGTTTGAAGACTATACTGTAAGAACCACAGTGGCAATGAGGAGAGGGATGAAGAGGATGAAGAACGAGAGAATCGCAGTCGACAGAGAGCAGAAAACAACAACGGAGGAACACCGTCAACGCAAGTCAATGGCAACTAGGTACGTTTTTAGTGGTTGTTGCACACAATACATTTTTTTACAACATTTAAAATGTCTGCGTTTAATGTCTATGGAAGACTATTAAGGCCAGGTAAAGTGGAGGGGGAATACTTTTATTTTGTATTTGCCTGAGAAACAAGTTAAGGACATTCGCTAATGCTCGTATATTTGATTTCATCTCAGAACTCTGTCACCCTTCATATTTTTAACTTAATTCTCATCATGCAAAAACCTCTACAGAGAAAATGTTTTACTCGTTATGATTAGCACGAATAGTCTTCGGTAAATATCAAACACAAAGTTTCTGTGTTTTTATTCTTTAGCATTGTTGGAATTGCCAAAAAATTGGGTTTTCAGATTTCCTGTCATTTCATTGCTTCGATTCTTTCAGGTTAGCCTGATGGACGTGATGTGGGGACAACAGAAGAGCTCAAAGACGAGGAAGACATATCTTTTTATACTAGATCTTAGCTTACTCTCAAAGTCGTGGTCTACAAGCTCCCGCGAGTCCTTCACATGTTTTCTTCCAGTAAACGAACACTATGTGCAGATGTCTCCTTCATGTGAAACCCTGTAAAGAGTTGACTGGATGAGCTTTTCACAGCCTGGTGGTACTCTGCAGACTGCTGCTGGATCATGAAAGAAGAGCCATTTTCAACAAGACCCAATGTTGAGTTCAATTTCATTGCATTGTTTCTGTGAATGAGAACCGATGGACTGATCTTCTGATTGTCACTCACTGCCCATGTATCCACAGATTACATGACACACACACACACACACACACACACACACACACTTGCTGAAATCGATGCATTCTTGCTCTTCCTTCGCTTCTACAGGACTCACTTTTAAGAGGAGTCTGTTTGTTACTCGTCTCTTTCAAGTTGTGTGGTTTGATTAGCTTGTTTCTGTAATCATGTCTTAAAGAGTACTCTTCATGCTAGCCTTTTTCTTGATATGTAATATTTTGCTACCGTGTTATCATCATGAGACATTTTGAATATCTGGATTTTCAGACGGTCAAGTACAAGTTTTGCCAGCATGCACTTGGATTCTCCCACTGTTCAAGGTGGCATTTTTTTATTTAGTCACAAAAGGGCGAAGTAGAGCTCTTTAGAGGAGGTGGCTTGACTTTGTTTGATGTACTGTTACTTGTATCTCTACCAATGTATCCATGAATGATGGGAAATAGAAAATATTTTTATTTTACACATTTAATGAGTCAATTGAGTCTTTCATTGGACAGTGTCTCAGGCGGCCTCTTACGCAGAGCAATACTCATAGCTACACGGTGTTGAAGAGTGAGGAATCTCACAAGTCAGACCTTTACATTCACACCTGTACGTTGTATGGATGATTTTGGGCATTTAGTTTATATAGATGTACACATTTTATGAACTAACAAGTCATCATTAGGTCCAAGTTATAAGATCTTATATAAAAACCTGAAATAAGTTTGAATGTATCAGAACTGAAAGTAGCTCCTCTGTTTCATTTCTGCCTTGCATTGGTACACAGCTTACTCTAACAGTAATACTAGTGTGATTGCCCTCGGATGGCAAAAGGTAGATGTCTCTGAATAACATTATTATAGAATTTTAGAAAGTTAACATGACCCATAGGCAGAGCTGTAGCCAGGTCTTTAAAAATAAGGAGGTATTGAAAGCACTATTAGTAATTGTGAAGTAAACATACATACTTTAAAGGTAACACGTGCCCTTTCATAAGCTTTTGATTGCTACAAGGTCTAATACTTACTTACTTATACTGAATGTACAGTTTAAAATGTTTGTTAAAAATAAATAAAGAAGCCTTGCCCTATCAATTACACATGTATAGAATTTGGCTAGAATAAAAGATCGATGATTTAATTGTGCCTTATCCCCGAAATATGTGATAGGCGATGATTCCAAATATAACACGTTCATAAAATAATTATATATTTGTACACAATGTCAATAATACAATCAAAATAATGATTTGAAATATATTTTCATGTTTTGTATATACTGAGAATGCCAGAAAAAGGGGCAGTTTCAGGCTGTACGTGTGCAAAAAGCAGTTTTTTTGAGAAAATGCATTACAGTGTAAAACTTGAAATGAAACCTCTTCAATTTCATTTTTTATATAGTATTTGTGAGGAAATGTAAAGCTTTTCTCCATGGAATATTCTTAGTAACAAGGTCCTCCAAAATGTGAGGAAATATGACCCTCGTGGCCTAGTGGCTAGTCTCGCATAATTAACATGAGACATGATGCGCATTTTCCCCTTAAAATGTAAATTGTACAGTACAGTTTTATTCAACAGTCAAAGGTCATGCTTATGAGGTACATACTGCCTTATCCACTTATGTTCAGAGACAATGAGTATTATATATTCTTACTCTCTACTGTAGTTGAGAACCAGAACTTCGCAGTTTTCGCCCTCACAGCCGGGCGGGGCTTTCCCATTACTGCGCATTTGATTGGTCCGCGGTGCTCCTGCGTCATCATTCCATCATTCACTAGCAGCCGAGCTACAGTAGAGCTACGGGCCCGCACACCGGAAATAGAAAGCAGCCTCCTGTAGCACTAGCCAACCTCAATGTGTGTGCTGTCATAAGGGTGAGGACTCCGCGAAAACTCAATACATTTATCTCTCCTGAATTTGAAGACCACGGAAGACTTATTTCAAACCGAACGACAGGGACCGACACGGACATGGCGACATCCAGCCCCTGTGTTGTGGTAAGTTCTCCCAGCAGCAGAATGAAATGAGAAGGTGGTCGTAGATTACCTCTGAGTGCCCACTGGAACAACACACTGTACCCGAGCGACACTGCGTTTGATAAATATGCTACACCTACTGTTGAATATTCGTGGTAAATAACCTGTCTTTGTGTGTTGTATGCTCACCATGGCAGCGTGTTTTGTCAGACACAGCAGCAGTGTTTCCTATGTGTAGCGTGGCCTGCGGCCATGGAGACAAACATGCGCTCCGCACGCTTTCCGTACATGACGCAGGAGACGCTTAATGATAGACATATTCAAACCTAATGTGCGGGTTTCTGTGCCTGACAGCACATTGCAGGTTTATTAGTTAGTGTATTACAAGATTGTACATAACAGCAGCGAGAAAGCATAAAAACACGAGCTGCAAGTAAGGGGGCGTGTTTAAGCGCGCTTCTTCATTAGGCTGTGTCCTAAAGAATAGGTAATAAACTGTTTAAAGTAGGTTTATGTTATGTGTGTAATGGACATACAATAAAGCTGATTGTCTTTGGAATGATGTCAAAACATTACTTTAAATACATTTAGTGTCTACAGTTGTAACGCATTTAGGGTCTGTATCATAATATATTAGAGAATACAAATATATCATGCAAGGTCAAACAAAATGAGAATCTAAAATAGTGCAAGAAAATAAGGGATAACAGAAATGATTAGTTATTAGTTTTAATTAGTATTAATTAATCAAATGCATATGTTTGTTTGTTCATATAAACAAGAATGTAGCACATTTATATGCATAATGATTATTATAAACTTATGCAAATGTGTAAAAAGTTGTTAAACATTAAATAGAAATACGAAAAACGTTGAGTGACAATATAATGGTAAAACAATATAATAGTAGAGAGCTTTTTGGATGTGTACAGTGGTTGTTTTGTTTCTCTAAAGAAACTGGAAAGGTTAATTTAATGGTGTTAATATGTATGAAGGCGATTATGTGTTGTATGATACAGCACATGTTAGGACCTCCGTAGTCTGTGTGAATTATTTGTAAATCTTTTTGTAGATAACTTCACTGACCACATTTTGAAGTCAGTGTTTTGTTGTTATGAAGACTTGCTGACACTATAGTCAAGCTAGTTGCAAAGTTTGCCCAACAAAAGACAGTAGAAGATGCTGTCTCCTGTGTCATATTTCAGATACAGTTGCAGAGTGAAGTGTTGCCTAACATGCACTTTGTTCACACAAACCGTAAGGTCAACCTTTTTGAACTCTGTAAAAAAATGTGGGTTCTCTGGCAGTTGCAGAATGTTACACGTGTCCAATCATTTTCCTGGGGCCTACCTTCCTTCGCCTGCCCTTGTTGCGCGTAACCAGAGTATTTCATAAGTAACCTGCTAGCTTGACTGATGTGAGTGCTAACAACAGCCGTGTTTGTTGATTCATAAAGATAATGGCGGGTTATTTTTTAGTAATTTCAAAATCTTGCCTGCTGGCTACTCCAATGTTACGTACCCAATCTTTAAATAACAGACAACAAGCCCACGTCCAACAGTGTAACCCCCTCCTTCAGACCATGTTACAGTGAGGACATCTGCTCAGTATCAGTGATTATTATTTTGCATTGAAAGGGTGACGCCCAACAGATGAACATGTTTTTTTCATTTTGGTGGGCATAAGGGGAAATGCTTTGTTCTGGTTCAACCACAACTCTTTGCAATCTAGTGTTTAGTTTAGCAATAAGAATGTGTTGTCTTGGGAGAAAACTCTGAGTCCTGGGTGCGGTTACAGTTACTCGCATCACTCCCACAGAACCTCAGGCTCTACACCAGCTTCCCAGCTGTCACATGATATTAGTTATGTTGTCTGGGTTCAAGTAGCAGGCAGTTTAAGAATCTACTGTGGTATGTATTTACAACCACTGACTGTTGCTTGCTAAACTGTACAAATAACGTATTGTTTTCAGAGTATGCGGCTCGAGAGGCAATCAAATCTACGTTGGCTGTGGATGGAAAAGTAGCCCTGCGTTGACCTCTTCATCCCATTCCCCCCGTACTACCCTGTATCAGATGAATGTTAGGTAATACCCCTGAGATTTTCTTTTTTAAACCCCTTTGTGTCGTGTTTTATTTCAGATCAGCGATGATGAGCAGGGGTATGACCTGGACTTGTTCTGCATACCAAAGCATTACGCAGAAGACCTGGACAGGGTCTACATCCCCCATGGACTCATTTTAGACAGGTGGGGGTGTCACTTTTCTAGCACTTTCTTGTAGGATAGAGAAAATGTGATACATTGTTGGGGTCAACTAAAAGATTAGTGTGCCCAAACAAAGACCCTGTGGGATGCCAAGGTGTTCAGTAACTGGTGGGTCAAAGTGCCGACACTACCTATATTTGTAAGTGTTTTTAAATGTCTCAAAAACATATATCTGTTAATCTTGTACTTCCTGTTTTTCTTGTTTTCTTGGCAAATTTTCTATTTAGTAATGCATATAACATTTTTTTTGTTGTGGTGATTTCCATTATCCGGCTCTCCGGGTTTGCTTTACTTGGGAGTGCTTTAGAAATTAAAGCTTTGCCTGCTGACACAAACAAAAAGGAAATGGGAACTACTGCTGACTGTAGCAGAAAACTGAGCTGACTCTCCTCTCCCTCTCTTTCCCTCTTCCCCTGTCCCACGTGACCACAGGACAGAGAGACTGGCCAGAGAGATTATGAAGGAGATGGGGGGGCACCACATTGTGGCCCTCTGTGTGCTCAAAGGTGGTTACAAATTCTTTGCAGACCTGCTGGACTACATCAAGGCCCTGAACAGGAACAGTGACCGCTCCATCCCAATGACAGTGGACTTCATTCGCCTCAAGAGCTACTGTGTAATACATCAGTTTCTGTCTTTCTTTCTTTCTTTTTACACCACCTAAGACATACTGCACTTTTTATAAAAGCAGATACCTTTACTATAGTTGATTTGCTTTACATGATTTTAAAATGTCAATGCTCAAAGGGAATCCTCTAGAGTTGTTGACTTACTCTTTTTGGAAGAAAAAAGTTTACATGCTTTTTCGCAATGTATAAGTATCTCCTGTGTGCACACAAGGATGTATGTGAATGGACATGCGGGTGATTCACTAAGATTGGTTTCATGCATTTTCACTGAAGTCAGTGCTGGCAAAGGTAGGAAATACTTTGTGTTCCCAACTATGCATGTAAACAAGGCACGATTTAAGAGTCAAAATTTGGTTTTGTAATTCATTTTATGAGGAAATGCAATCGGCACATGTGCTAGGTTTCAATACAAGGTTTATATCCAAGTATAGTTCAAATATGAATTTAACTTCCAGACAATCTGGCATTAGAGGTAGTTCAAATCTTGAATGGTGGAAAAACAAGCTTCAATTGGGGAAAAGCTGCCTCATGGTCCACACAGATCTAATGTCTCATCAGTGGAGCAAAAGCTTGAGTGACAATTAGTCACATGCTTAATGTTCGTCAATATTTGTTAAATTTATTTCCAACTGCATTTTTTTTTTAGTGATACAACCACGTTTTCCTACTCTGCCAAGCCTTTTTTTATTATGTCATTTGTTCATGTTGTTCATTTTTGTTCATTGATATAACTTCTCCAGCTGTACAACTTAAAATGTGAAGTCTGAAACATGTCATCTTTATTCTTATCCTCACAGAATGACCAGTCGACAGGTGAAATCAAAGTCATCGGTGGAGATGACCTGTCTTCACTGACAGGCAAGGTAAGAAGTATGAAGGGCAACATGACTATGAATAAACAATCTTTGTTGACTCTAGGTCTGTCCTTGACATGTTACATGTTATGTATTTCTGCCATGAATAGAAGAACAACAACCTGGTAGTGGTAATATTCAGCTTGAACAGATACCTTGAATTTTACACAGGCTGATTTACAAGGGGGGTATGAAAAAAATAAGACACGCAACCCAAATACGCAAAATGAAAAGATATTAGAGCTGACTTGATCTAAAGATTTTTTTAAGACAACACGCATACGATTTTGTCAACTAATGGATACGTTGATTTAATCGACACAACTGTAAGACTTTGTTTTGCTTAAAGAATTATGCAAAAAAAATAAAAACTTCTCTTGTAAACAAGTTCTTCAAAAAGCATTCAAATAACTATTATTCAACGGGGGGGGAAGGAAGTCTTTGTCAAATAAGACAAAATCGAAAATGAGTGGACACTGGATTTCGATATTAATAATATAAAAGTTAAAGGTGGGGTAGGTAATTTTGGAGAAACCAGCTCGAGTGCGCTAGAATTTGAAAATATACAACCGGAAAAAGTCTGCCACTTCCTTACAGAGCCCCTCCTCCAACACACACGAACGCGCACATGACCAATGAGGGCACGAGATAAGTTTGCGCACAGATGGAAGGCTGACAGGCAGGTAGGCCATCCGGTTGCTAAAATGATTGGTCGTGCTTTTTACAGTATTACGGCTTCCACAGATGACATTTTTTTTATGGATTTTTTGTCAAAGCATTTAATGTATTCATTGCTATCGGGATGTTAAGAGCATTCATGGAATATAACAAAAAGTGTATCTCGAGCCGGTTTCTCAAACTTACCTACCCCACCTTTAAATTAACTTAAAATAAGAAAATAATTGTGTCTGTTGTTTTGCATCACATAACTTACCTTAGTTAATGTATCCATGATTTTCATAATGAATAAATTAAATGATACGCATTCACTAATTACAAATTCTGAACAAGTTGGATTATAAAAAAAGAGAACTGATTATTAACGTCTCGTGTTTATCTGCATGCTAAGATAAAATACATCCAGTCCGCTGTTTTCATTAATATTATGATATTAATATTATCATTTCGTTCTTTTTCTTTTTTCACAGAACGTCTTGATTGTGGAGGTACGTACGGACATTTTCTTATACAGTAAATTAAACCGCTTTCTATTCCAAGACTGCTAACATTAGCTTCTCTCGTGCTGTGTTTCCAGGACATTATCGACACAGGGAACACAATGAAGACGTTATTGGAACTCCTCAAACAGTACAAACCAAAAATGGTTAAAGTAGCAAGGTAATTTGATCTCTTTAAAACTGTAAGATTGCGGGGATTCTTTACCAAAAGGCTGTTATTTATGAAGTTTTATAACTATGATCAACTTTGTTTCTCCCCCCAGTTTGTTGGTGAAGAGAACACCAAGAAGTATTGGCTACCGACCGGACTGTGAGTTTACACCTTTTTTAGACTACTTGTGAAATGTATAGTTAATATTATGTACTGTATGTTACACAATGAATATACTAATAATAATATAGGATACTACTATTTCAGAGTTGTTGGTGTATTGCAACACCAAGTAACTGTTTTATTCGCCTGTTTCTTTCAGTTGTAGGATTCGAGGTGCCTGACAAATTCGTGGTTGGATACGCACTTGACTACAACGAGTACTTTAGAGATCTAAATGTAAGTATTTGAGATGGATAAAGAAAGTATGTCATGTTATCTGCTTATAAGAGTCTGGGCAAACAGTTTGTGTCAGGTGATTTTTTTTAAATCAATATGTTTATTGATTTTTCTTAATTTCTACGAACTCAATAATGACAGAGCAGATACATGACAAATGCATAATTACAAAGCAAAACCAAAACAAATAAACAGCTCAGTTTCCAGACATACATGGGGTTTACAGGAGAATCACTTAAAGGTTTGTCATGGCTTATGATTACAGGTCTTCAGGAGGTTTCTTTAACAATAGTAGCCGAGGAAATGCAAGTAAGGCTGCCAGATTTGATAGAACTGGTCAGATTTGGCATGTAGAATACTTGTAAGATATTCCAGGGGAACCAACACAAATATAATTTTGCCCCGCCTTTGTCCATTGTAGTAATATATTTTGACCTTGCAGCAAAAGTAGGGACATTGTATTATTTCTTCCGAACCCCTTCGATCCTCTGTGTATTATAAGGAGTCATGCCTCACATTACTTCATTAAACAAACGGAGTGACAATCTACCTGGTGGACGGTACAGCAATTTATCAATAACTGATACCTCAGGGTGATCTACAAGGGTTGTATTCTTGGTGATATAGTGCCTGATCTGCAAAAAAGTCCCGTCTTGGGAGCTGGTACTTTTTTTTTAATCAATTGGTCAAATTACATGAGATCGCTGTCAGAGAACAAGTCTCCCAATGTAGTTAAGCCTTTGTTATGCTGGAAGCAAGGATCCAATACTCCTGGTAAATAGTCTGGGTTGTTGGTTATCCGGGTGGAAGTCAATTTGAGACCCCCCTCCATACACATTAATTGTGACTGGGTTCGGTACACTTCTCTTTTAAATCCTGTAAAGAACACTATAATAATGAGGATTCAATGGCGCTTTTCCACTGCAGCACGTAGCACTGTTTAAGCGGGCCGGGTTTGATCTGACCAATCAGCAGTCGAGAGTGTTTACGTCACTAGTTTAGCATATTCAGCCCGGTAAGAACCTCGATTTTGGAGGGCCAGAAAAAAGGTGAAAAAGTAGCCCTGAGCCGGAACTACCCCCAGTGGAAATGCAAAAAAAAACACTGGCTCATAACACTATGAGTTGGATCTTAGCCTTTCAATTAGGGACTGATATCTCAGGCTGGGATGAAAAAACAATTGTTCGGCTACAGACTTAATTTATGAAATGTCTCTCCAAACTGCAAGCCAGTGGCTCAATGGCTAACACAAAGACGAGAGGAGATAGTGGCCCTGCCTGGTACCTCTATGTGTTGGGAAAGTACTGGATCTTAATCCATTCGTTAGGACTACAGCTATGTACCGGGTGTTATTGATGCAAGGTCAGACCGGGATAACAAACATGTGCATCAATAAATTGCTGCAACACTAATCAATCCTTTTTCTGTTTCAGCATATCTGCGTCATTAGTGAATCAGGGAAGGAGAAGTACAAGGCATGAAGAGCACTTCGTCACAATTTTAAATGTATGATTATATCTTATCCTTTTGCTGTCCATTTTATATTTTAATTCTTCATATTCGTGTCATAAAATATATTCAGCCTGCTCAGGGTCCCTGAGGATACACCGCTAAAGTGATAATCCTGAGAGAAGCATGGCCTGTTTTAGTCACCACACACACGCACATTTGACGCAACTTTAGAGATAATCTTTTTCCTTAGATAGAGCAATGTCTGGGTCAAACGGCATGGTGCCCAGCATCACTTGAAATTAGAATAATGCCCCACACTGATTTCATTATTTTGTTAAATCAATTGTAATTTATTTTGAGCAATGCTGTTAGCTTTATGTACAAAATACCAAGTGTTGTGCCATATCAAGATATACAACATTTGACAACCTCCTATGAAAATTAATATAACTTTTAATGTAATTCTTCTTTTACCTTGAACCATCAAAAACATTTTATTGGCAGTCATAAGGAGGATCTCACATTTTATTTTATTTGTAAGTGGGACAAATTACATCTTTGTGTTACTGTGGTGTGTGTGTGTGTGATAAGATTTAGGTAATTGCAGAAAAGTAACACAAATGCTGGCTGCTGTCCCGAATAAACACTTGGATATGCTGAAGATGTAATATCTTCTTGATTTATGAGTGTTAATGATATATTTTTATCATTTTTGTCACATCAAATTAATTTGGGTGCATGCTGCATTGTTCAGATAGAGATCTTTCTATTGCTGGAAAAAAATGAACAGTTTACAAATGTGTAAATGTTCGACTGATACTTGGAACAATCATGTTTGAAACACGTAATCTGTATTTTTCTGACCGTTTTTTGGTTTTACATTTCTACTTTATAAGAGGTTCACAAGCAATGGTACCATCATTGTAAACCAGTGTCAACTGAATGTTGCATACCAGCCATTAAATGTTCTCACCCCTCCCGTGATTGACTTACATTTTACTACAAAGTGTGTTAACAATATAACACCAAATGCTCTGTTTAGAAAATAATTTCTGGCTAATTGATTGTGAAAATACTGGTTAATGGAAAGATAATACAGGTAAGATAAATGAATTTCTCCCAAAAAAAGTGATGCATTAGTATTCCCTATGTCTGGAAGCTAACAGTGCTGCCAGAATTTTAGGAAGAAAGTGCTGACCGTGGACTGAATAATACCTGCTAACGGTATTTTACTAAGGCTCATTGTAAAGTATATGGTTCTCACATGTTTTAAGTGTACGATTATTATGTTTGGTTATTTTGAAATACTTTCCTGCATTTTCTGATTATTTTATACTAATAGTTATTCTAAAAATCGAATGTTTCGGTTTTGGCTGTTGATAACACTGAAATTGTCAGTTGAGACCTTTATACAGTCTATGGTTGAGACATTATAAACGATTATAGATGAAGGGGGGCAGCTTGAAGAGTACTTCCTAAATTGGCATTATAGTAATTATTTAATAAGCTAGTTTTAGGCATGACAAGTGGTGTGATTTGCTGCTGTTATTACCCAAAATTACCCATCAAAACACTAAATCTGCAAGACCATTCATACCTCCATCACTTTGTTAAAAGCACATGGCCTCCTGTCCTTGCAAGAAAATGTTTCACGACATCACGTGAAACTCAAACTGCCATTTTTGATGCAGCTAAATGTATCATGGAACTCAGATTAAATGAAAATGTAACTTCTGATAATGCAGCTGGAGTTTATCATGTAAGAGTTCCATATGATGCAGGTCACCACATCCCGCCTGAGCATACCGGCAAATGCAGCGGTTTCATTGGACAGGGCTGCTAACGTTAAAAGGGGCGTGAAGTTTGCTGCTAGCAGCTAACCTAGCTCCTGTGTGATCATCTGAGATCTTCTGCTTCATCCCTGGAGGCGCCCTGCAGAACCGAAAAACAAAGCTATAGAGCCAGTTACATGTGCAGACGCCATGGTTTAATGTGCTTCTCTGAGCCGGAGAAGCTATCAGGCTGAGGGACAGAAACAGTTAGTTAGTGAGATGTTGATAAAGGCCTCTGTGGACATGGTGTTGTGGGTATCGGCGTTAATGCGAACGTGGCTAGATAGCCTAGCATGCTAGGTAGCTGGGCTTAAAGCTGTTGCTGAAACTAGTTAGCGAGGAGCGTAGCATAACACTGGCTCATATTACTGAGAAGAAACGTTAAACTCTTTAACTCGTTCAGTATTTAACAGCAACTCGTTGAATTAACGTCATAAACGTTAGAGGCATTTGTTGCACTCCCAAGTAATCTGCTGTACGGTTTGGCTAATGATAGCTAATTTAACGCGCTAACATGCAGTGCTAGGTTAGCATAGCAGCGTTTCAGTCGTCAACCACGGCCGCCCTGCACCATCAGAGCAACGGGTCGGCAGCTAGCAGTTACTGGGCATTGTGCGGTATGTAACCATGGCATGCTAACCATCCATCAGGAAAGTTGGTGACTGGCCATAACGTTACAGCCAACGTTAGCACAGGCCAGTTTTGACTGACTATATAGTTGTGATTTATAGGATTGTTGAGATAGAGTTGTTAGGATAATTAGCCAGGGTTAATTTGTTTAACAACGGAGTTATACAGACTACAGGGCCTTGCAGATTACAGTGGTGTAACTACATATTTACTTTAGTTTGTCTCGTCAGCTCATTTAGCCTTAAAGATTATGTTTCCTAAAAACACGTAAAGGTAAAAAAAAAAGTTTGGAAAGCAACCATGTAACGCCACTGAGCTTGTTAGCCATTTTAAGTTCATGAATTGGTGGCGGGCAACGGTAGCTAGCAAAATGAACAATTCAGGAGTCCTGGCGCAAGAGAAGATGGAGCTGGATCTGGAAATCCCATTGTCGTTAGCTCAGACCGAGGGGCACTTGAGACGATCCAACAGTGCACCCATGATAAATGTCTTAAGGTTTCTACAACATTACATAGTTGCACTACTTTACTTACAAATATTTCAGTGAATGTATTTATCCCCATTGTAGTAACTACATTTGAGTGAACTCATGGGAAGTACACGCATGACACATGGTTGTTCTGTGAATTTGTCATTTCAGTGATAACTCCCAAGTGTTTCAGAGAGAGGTCCTGCGCAGCCGGAGAAATAGCACTACAGTGGTCAACAGGCCCAACATGGTACAATACATTTAAAAATATTAAACACAGTTTCACCAAAGTTATTTGTGTCTCAATTATTGTGTAGTCAATCTTCTCTTCTTCACATGCATCCTTCTTTGCAGGTCCCTTCATCGCCTATTCGGGTCCCCAGCACCAGACTTCACCAGATCAAACAAGTAAGAACACTAACTGTTTTTTTCATATTGGGGGTGAAAAAAGGGCATGTCAGACCACTGTCTCCCTCTCAAGCCATAGGGATTGATGGTGTCTAAAAAACATGCTAGAGTCAATATATTGGAGTCCACAGGGCCATCGATCTTAAAGAGATGATCATTTGGTAGTATAGGACTCCAACAGAGAAAATAAACAATTTAATGAAATCCATTGGCTACATTTATATCTTTTTTTATTACAAAAAAAAGTTGAGATTTTCAAATGAGATTAAGGTTGATCCAGAGTAGGACCAAATGCACAATGTCTAGTTGTTGCGTGTATAATTCAGAAAAATACTCTAGCTAATACTTTCTAACCATTATCACCTTGTACCCTTGAAGGAGGAAGGCATAGATGTGATGAACAGAGAAACTGCACATGAGCGGTAAGCTGTAATAATTTGAGGATAAAGAGATTTGTTTGAATTATTGCTTTGTTGTAGTTTAAACCAACATGTTTCAATTTATTCCTCATCTTCTGTTTTTGTACACACAGGGAGGTTCAAGCCGCCATGCAAATCAGCCAATCCTGGGAAGAAAGCCTCAGTCTGGTAAAGAAAGACTTCATTACAGCTTCTCGAGTGTTATGAGATATGTTTTGTTTGCTTTGAATCCTTGGAAGTGGGCTCTGTTTTGCCTTCCCACTGCATGTTTTGGCCCTGGGCCAGTTCTGGCCTCTCTATCTCCGTAGAGTGGACAAGTACAAACATGCTAGATTAACGGTGAAAACAAGGGAGTTATCAGGGCCACCAGTCTTTCAAGGTCAGACTGAGTCGGTAGTATAATACTCCCACACTTATTTTAGAGTTTCTCTACATAGTGCTGTGAAGATGTGATGTAAGATGACATGGCCACCAATGTGTTTTTATAATCCGGTTTTCTTAGAGTGACAACGATTTGGAGAAGTCAGCGTCTTCGTCTCCTAAGCGCGTCGACTTTGTGCCCGTGTCCCCAGCTCCGTCCCCGACCAGAGGGATAGGAAAGAAGGTACGTCTGACCTCCTGTATGTTGACATGCATGTCACCTGACTATACAGTGAACAGCCAGATGAAGGGAGCAGTTAGAGCATTTCAGTAGTTTGCTGTAACCTGATTTTACTAACAGCTCGCAATCAGATTATTGAATGGAAATCTGTGTGGCAGGATGGAATTTATTTAGCTGAAAAAACAGAAAACCGTCTTCCAGGAGAGATTTTTTTGTTTCTGTTCAGTTAGCTTAAAAAGGCCTCTTCTTTATTCTTTATTGTAAACCACATACATTATTTGTGTTCTAGAAATGCTTATTTGGATCCAATACATTATGTTTTTGCTGCATAATTGTTTTGGAGGAAATGGTTATACATGCTTGATTTAATCAAAAGGTTATCTTGATTTACTTAGTTAATTTTGACCTTAATTTCACACATAACTTTACTTAATGTACACACACAGTAGGACCAATGATCAGGCCGTTAATCTGTTTTTATCTTGTCTCTTGTCCGTCTTCTATGTTGCCTTCGTCCAAGCAGCAGTGTTTCTCTCCTTCACTACAAATCCTTGTGAGCAGCAATGGCCTGACGCCCAGCCCCGTACCGAGCCCAACGCGACGCTTCAGGTGAGCAACAAGTCTTTGAGTCTTTTGATAAAGAGGTTTTTGATTCGTATCTCAGCGAACAGCAAGACTACTCCAGCGCTACCTGACTCCTGTAATTCTCCCCGGGGCAAAAATGAGGTTCCTTTTGCAAGTCTTGGTAGAAAAAACGACTGTTCCTATTAACTTAACAACTTTTAAGATGTGTCCGAGTAAACTATAACCATTTTATCTGAATTACAGTTACAGTACAGATGCATTTGTATTGCCACTGATTCTGCCTCTATTTCAAAAGATTCTTGGTTGAAAAAGTATTCTTTGTGATTCTCAGCCGACGGAGTCAAAGCCCGATCAACTGCATCAGAGCCAGCATACTTGGACCAATGAAACGCAAAGGTGAGGTAGCAAACATCTTTGTTTCTCAGCCAAAAAATGACATCCAGCATGTTAATTATTATAAAATGAAACTATAGAGACTGCACTGACTTTCGGGTAATTTAACTGAGCGTTATTATTATTTGTATTGTGTCTGATTATGATTGCAGTTAAGTTCTCTTTTTTAGAGCAAGCACAGTCTGTGTTTCTAGATTTCTAAATGTCAGCGTCCCTTTGCTCTGCAGGTGAGATGGAGACGGAGAGTCAGCCTAAGAGGCTCTTCCAGGGCACCACCACCATGCTGTCCTCAGAGGTCTCCAACCTGTCCGAGCTCAGCTCCTGGTAAGACTTTGTGGATCACCAACAGGTGTCATAGAAAGGTGTTTTAAAAAGCTCATTGTGTAGATGAGGATTCAGCCAACATATTCATGTTTAGGTAAATGAAGCAAAGGGAAGAAATGTTACACATGGTTGATCATCTGTAAAAAAACAAAATGGTGGGGAAACTTTCTTAGATGTTCATTTGCTACATACTGTGGTTCTAATAGTTGAGCAATACACTTTAATTATTAACATTTTAACTGGGCAAAAGTGTTATTATGCATCTACTTTTAAATAGCAGCCATACAGGCATTAATGACTTGCTTGGACAAAACATATTACTAAATTGGCTTTTTAATAGTATAATTAAGGACTTTTGATTTTTGGACTTTGACTACATGTTTTAAATTAGATTAACGCAGATTTAATGTAAAAATAATAGGTACGATTTCCATCAGCTCTCCTGGCCCAAAGTGAAAGTACACTCCTGCAATATGCCAGCTTCACTCACAAAAAAGTTGTTTCATGGGTAAAAAATACATTCATACAAATTCACTGACTAATGGGAGCAATCACCTGGTTAGAACCAACATGTTTGTTTTTTGTAGGGAGTTCATAAAACAGCTAAATCCATATGTATGATCAAGCTGCTTGAACATTTATTAATTGGGAAAGCCAGGCAATGATTGCACAGATTCCCCTTCTCGGCGTTGCAAGATAATCTTTCTCTGCTGAATTTGTGACTTGAAGAACAGATAACCCATCTTAAACCAGGGGTCAAATAAAGCTCCTGTAAAAAGTGAATGACTGTAGCCTGGGGATTAAATCATCATCATCCTGATTTGACTTGGTCATAGTTACTGGTACCGAGCGGGTGAGGCATTAGTAAAAGTATAGCTTTGTGGGACTCTTAAATAGATTATAATAAAGCAAATGTTTGCCGCAGCCTCTGATATGACAGCCTGCAGTCTTAACAAACTCTTTCCTTCCTCCAGTCACTGTCCCGACATGCTGGACGGCAGCCTGAGCAGCGTGGGCTCCTCCACAGACTCCCCGGGCAAAATGGAGGGAGTGTCGCCCTCCTCGTCCAGCAACTCGCCGTTCGCTTCCCTCCAGGATTTGTCGCCAAAGTGAGCATGGGATTTGAAGAGACAGTTTAAATATATATTCTAAAAGACTGGTGCCAAAAAGCATCTCTCCAGGGAGCACGCCTCCTTTTCAGACCCTCCATCTCATCGCTTAGATTTGGTGGATTTTCTCCATGTTTGTTTCTGAGCGGCTGTTCTCATGGCTACAGTTCGGAGGGTATGTTTGATTTAAGGAAGCAAAAAGCCATGGATGAGTTTTTTTAGTGAAACTAAGAAAATGTCTGAAGAAACTGGAGCACCAGCTGCTAGTAGAGGATATGGATGGTGCTCGGCTTCATAGTGAGTGTGTTCATTACTAATGCTCGAGCACTGGACTTAAAGAAAATGACTATTTGGATGTGTACATTTCCCCTTTTCGCGCTGGAAACCCTCTGTCAGCAGGCTTCTTTTTTTTGTATGTACAGTCCTGTTATTTTGTAAGAAAAATATTTAACTTATTGTTTCCCTGCTTTTGCTTGTAATTATGTACATAATATCCCCGTCAGATGTAGTTTTAAGTTTGGCTGTGAGGTGAATGTGGGCACAGGTCTTCAGCAGCGAAGAGTTCTCTTTGTAAAGGAACTTAAACTACTCCTGGGGTACACCTACGGAGATTTCCTCACTGTTCTATTGGAAGAGTTGTGTTTTCAGCAGATTTTCATAATATTTTTATGATACGGGCTATGAACTGTGGGTTTATTTTAATTTTATATATGACCCCATCCCAAGACTTGCGTCTTTGTGTACAACACTAAGGGTTCCTGTGTTTTTGTCAGGATGTCTGTATATAAGCAGAGTGTAGAGATGTTCTGCTGGGGAAATATTCCTATCTATGAATTTTGTGAGGTTTCATATTCCCATCAAAAGTAAACATCACACAGTATCACATCCTGTCAGTATGTGTGTGAGCGGGATAGACGTCAAACTTTCTTATAAGAAAAATATCCAAGAAAACAGTATACTGTACTGCTTTCAAATGTCCCGATTCCAGTGTCCATATCCCCTGTGTTTGTATAAAAGGAAGTGATTGTAAATCATATTATGGAAGTGTGCCCCTTTTTTAATTTAAAGATACGTTTGGTTTAATTTTCTTTGTACGAAAAATAAAAAGCAGTCGGCTTGCCCTGCTGTCGAGATGATATTTTTTTCTCATCTTATGAAGTGTTAAGGGCATGAATCTAGCAAATTTGATACTGTATGACTGCAATGGAAAAACTGTAATAATCTGCCAAGCCGGCTGACAACTCGCCTATGCTTGTCTTTTGTGATTGCAATCGTAGTGAACATCAGGAATAAATAAATTATTTCTTTATGAGTTTGTGAAGCTGTTTTTCTTGTCCGGAGCCCTAAAACGTACCCATGGTCACAGCAGGATATCCCTAAACCTTATTTACTAGTCTGGAACCAAATGGTATGCAAGCAAATCAAATCAAATACCAAAGGGAGATCAGAAACCATGATCAAAAGAAAACTAAGGCATCATTATCAAGTTTTGGGCTCCACGCCCTTCTGACCCAACGTATTAAGTCTAGAAAATAACCTAGTGTTATACCAGACCGCTGTACTGAGACTTTATTTCATGTTTGGAGCATTGATGTATTGAGACAAGCCACTGCCTTCAAAAGATGTTCCTTTTGTTTACATGTAAAAGTATCTGCTGGAAATAAAATAAAACTCGTCTGAATAAAGTATCAACACATGCAAATAACTGCATTTAGTCTACATTTAAAAAATAAATAAAAAGCTTTAAAACATCCATATAATGATGGTTACAGAAAAATACCATAACAAAATTTGAATGGCTTTATATACATGTCTGCATGTAGAGTCCTTCACACAGTTAACCATACTCTGTTACATAATGGCAATACAAACACGGAATATGAGGTCAAACACTTTGAATGGCCCTCATGTTTCTTCACGGGCCCTCCTTTCACTGAGGGTCTCCGCAGCTCAGCGTCAGTTTATGTATTAACACAAATAAGCAGCTTTTAAAAACGAGTATACTAAAAAATGATTTTTCAGGGGCCGGGGTGAATAAGTACTGCGTCCCTCCTGCTGTCAGCCGTACTCATTGAAGCGTAGCAGTGCCTCCTGTGTGGGGACGTTCTTCTCGTCTTTAGATCATGTCTCTCCTCTCAGCTCGCTGTGCATCATGTGCGTAGGATGACCATCGTAAGAAGACCTAAAATATAATTTAAAAAAAAGAGCAGCAGGATATTTTTTACTCCAGCACGTACTCTTTCAATGTGATTTCCTGTCTGATTGCGTGTATTTTTCTTACCGAGAACGTAAGCAGCTACAAGTTTCTTGTTAACACTTAAGTGGAGGTAGAGAGGCACAGTAGATTCTTGCTCCCCCAGGGTGGGGAGCATCAGGGCGACCATACACACCAGCCCCAGCAGCACCGTCAGCAGACTGGGGCCTCCAGCAGCAGGACGGCTCTCTGTCGGGCACACACACATTCACTTGATTTAACCAACGCTTTTATCCAAAGGGCAATAAACCATGGAGGTACAAACTCGTAACACCATTTTAAGTGCTAACCCTCAACCTTCTTTTTGAGTAGGTTTTACTGGCTAATGTGCAGTTAAACCAGATGGGTATTGAGTCTGCATAGAAGATGTGTATACTTTCAGCAGCCCTGATATCAGTGGTGATTTTAATCCACCATTTTGGAGCCAGGATAGCAAACACACGCACACACAGTCATGTCATTGTCGAGAGGTACCTGCCGATTGGCAAATGCAGAGCGAAGTGCATGTACACATACGTAAACACTGCGATGAGATACATCACTTAAGCGGCATGGTTAAAGGGAACATTTAGACAATTCGTTCCTGAGATGGATTTAACCAAAACGTTTGTAGATTAAAAAGGTGTTGTACTTCGTGCATTCATGCCATCATTTGACTTGAAAGTAAGGCCCCGGCTCCACGGGAACGCATACGGCAAAACGCATAGGAGTAACGCAAACGCCAAAAAGCTTCCGCCCACACGCAATATACACCGGCTTGTGTCAAGCTACACGAGACGGCTCCGTTTACATCCAACCGCTGGAAAAGCTGCAGTACATATGCCGAGCCTGTACGTGGCGCTGTAACTTCCTCCACAAAAGCAGCAACTTCCTCCACAAAAGCAGCGAAGAAGAATGGTTGTCATGGCTGCACTTCTGTTTATTCTCCGCGGTGGGGGCCGAGGGATCCGGGCAGAGTTTTTCGCCGGTCAACGTGTGTTAAAGTTTAAATCTTCCGGACAAAATTATAAAAGTGCCGGTCAAAGGTCTTCTTTGTTATTTATTGAGCTTTAAAACAAATGAATAACGACGATATAATGATATATAATAATAAAATACACGGAGGCTGTCTCTTTTTCCTCTCTTCTGACAGCGTCAGTGTCTGTCTCATGCAGCAGCTGATCCAGTAATGATGACTCGACAGTAAAAATAAACATATTTATAACTAGTTTAGGTAGTTTGAGAGGTAATTAAAATAGCTAAGGGTGATGATCTGACTTGAAGTGTGTGTTTTGCTCCCGCTGCATCACAGCGGGAGGAGCTGCGTGTCTCCGTCCTGTCAGATTAGACCTCACTCGCGTTTATGTCCATATCGAGATAAAGATAAATAATCTGAATTCAGTGTGCAGTGTACTTTTGCGGGGGTGAGTAGCAGAGGTGGGGAGAGGCGGGGCTATTGCGTCGTCATTATCAGAAACGGATGACCGTATAGGCTACCACACGGCCCCGTTGGACCCCCCAGAGCGCTCCGTTCCCAGATCTATCCACCTTTGGACCCGTTGTCGTTTGCAGGGTCTGTTTCTACCGTTACGTTACGGCGTCGTCTAGCTTAAAGGGCTATACGCAAGAGAAATATGCGGATTCAATCCGTTTTCGTTCCCGTGGAGCCTAGGCCTAACATAGCTAGACCCAAATGCTAATGGGATTGCAGAATTGGCCGTCCATGTACTCCTCAGTACTTCTAAAATCATACTAAAAGATCCAATGTGAAAATGATTGCAGACTGTTTGCCATTATTGTCATATTTTGTTAACGAGACAAATAGCGGTTTTAAAATTGTAGATGAAACATGTAACGTTTAATGTCCAGTGAATGGTGATAATGTATTTGAGTTGAAGGCATTTGGCTCCATCTAGTGGTGAAATCACAGTAACATCTCTCAGTCCTACCTGTATGTAAAACAGTCTGTTCAAAGAACTCGCTGTCTGCCAGTTCTTTGATCCTGCGTTCGTCATCTTGGGGCCGGGGGCTGGGCGTCTCCTGAGAGGCGGAGGGACGCAGCGTGGCCGTCACCTCTTTGCGACCCAGGGCTTTCCGCTGACTCTGCTCAGACACCTGCAGCCGGAACTTGTCGTACACGCCGTAATGGCATGGACGCACATCTCTGTGTCGGATTACTCTGTGTGGACAGAAAACATGAAAACACGGATAGTAATCAACACGGAAAAACAAGCTCATAAATGAGATTCCCTTTAGAGAGGTGCATTTCATTTGTACCAATATTTCCTCTTGTAATTTGTCCGTGTTTATTATATCTTAACTATTTCAAACCAACGTTACACTGATTACATTAATGATTTGGGACCATTTAGTGGTTGGGAGTCGGGTATTTGGTTAAAATAGTGTTTTTTTAGCTTGTAATTGTTTCAGAATCAGAATCAGAATACCTTTATTAGTCCCACAGAGGGGAAATGTACATAGTTACAGCAGAAAAAGAGCCACAGACCGCTTAATGTTACATATGTTACATGCATTAAAGTACTAAGTTATGATATAATAACAAATATAATAAAAAATAAAAAAAGTTACATCATTTTCAAAATACACATCCTGTAACAGTTCTTAGCATTTAGCAGCCAGGTGTATATTACAAAGTTATTAACGGCTTATATATATATATTGCACATATAGCACATATTGCACGTAGGTTGGTATTTAACAGCAAGGGGTGTTATAGTCTGTGTTGTTGTGTGTGTGTGTGTGTGTGTGTGTGTGTGGGGGGGGGGGGGGGTCTTCTAGGGGTTGTGCTGGTTGTATAGTCTGACCACTGCAGGAAGGAAGGACCTGCGGTATCTCTCCGTGAGACAGTGGGGGTGCAGCAGCCTGTCGCTGAAGGAGCTGCACAGTGAGGACAGGGTGTCCTGGAGCGGGTGGGACATGAAGTCCCTCCAGTTATAGATGTGTAGTAATATATATCATAAATACTATCTGCTTACTGTCTAAAGCTTTACATTTCTTAGAATGGTGTCCCATTTCACATATCTTCAGGTTGTATTTTGAATCTGTTTGTGACTAAATAGAATTGAATTCATTTGCATATTCATGAAAGATAGACATTTTTATGCACAAAAAAATGAACTCACATGTCCACACAACACTGTGGCTTGACAGCTCCGGTGGAATCCACCACAGTGTATTTGTTTGGTGCTGTGCACAGCACTGATAAAAAGAAGAAAATACACAAATGATCCACCTTGTCTGTATATCAAACATAGTCCAGCATACATGGAGAGCCCAAATGGATTGTGTTTCGCTCACCTTTAAATTTGAGCGCAAACTCATAGGGGTTGTAGAGGGTGAGCACCTGCTTGTGAGACGTCTGGTCATCTGCGTAGAAGATGAGCTCAGTGGGGAACACGAACACGGGAAGGCTTCCTTCCACCAGCTCAGGCTGTCGGTGCTGCTGCTGCATTGGCCCCCGCTGAGCTCTTCCCCTTCCCCGTCCACGGTCTGCCTGGGCCCCCCCACCCCTCTCTCCACGAACTTTCAAGCTGTGTAAAATCCTTTCAGGTGGCGCTTTCCACTCTCATCGCCTCAGGCACATGACGTAGCACTGTGAAGAGACACATGTGTTTGACTTCTGCTTCATTTGATGGGGAAACACTGCATCTGTTATTCAATTAATGCATCCACCAGCTGTTGTTTGTAGCTTATTTGCACCTTTATGTTTTGCAGGTGACAAATAAAATAATGGTCATATAATGCACTTCCAAGGAGTCAACTACAGACCAACTTGTACGTGTTTTGAGGCCAATACGTACATCGATATTTCAGAATAAAAATCTAATAACAAGATGTAATGATGATCACAAAGTATGTTATGATGACAGAAAAACCCCACAAATGTCATTATTCAATACTGCAATGTTTTGTTACTCATTGGCAGCATGTCTACTGAATTTGTTATATGATAGGGACTCATCTTCAAAACTGTAAATGTAATTGGCAACATATATTTATTTTATTTTATTTGGATTATGTTATATAACTTTCAAGTTCAGATAACTGTAGTTTAACAAGGTAAACAGTTCTAGGTAAACCCCATGTGGCAGGTCACGTGACGTGGTGTGTTTACATGGTAAGGGTAGAGCTCTTATATATACAGTCTATGGTAGAGCTCAAGGAACCTTACTCATGCTGTCGCAATACGTTATGGGCTCAATGTACACATACAAAACACAAAATATGCAGGAATGAGGCTTAATTCAAGTTGTATTTAAATATACCTGTTTTGTTTTTTCTAAGACTAAGCTATCCTGCCATATTTGTATTCGTTGTTATGAGCTTAAAATGTATAGCTAACTTTAAACTGCAGTGTAATAGGTGAACACATAATGAGGTCCTTATATTCGTTATATATTGTCAACAGTTATATTTGGACTCCATAAATAAACCCTACAGTTTGACAGCTAACTAGCGTTGACACTGTTATAACACATAGGTAATAAGCTAACGCTGTACAGTAGCGTTAACATTAGCTAGCGTTAGCCTGCTAGGAAAAAACACAGATGTTAGCTGACAGCCACTTAACGTTGTCTAGACGCAGAGTCATTACATAAAATAAAACACTGAGTCGTGTCGTTTCAAGACAGAAGTGAGAGGAAGACTTTACCTTGTTGTCAGCACAGAGGTTCTTGTAATGTCAGTGCTATCGCCAGGGTTTGAGCCTCAGATCCCACCCTGTTGTTGTTTCTCTTCAGCCCTTTTTTCTTTGTCATTAATATACTGCAGACCTCGCAGTGCATGCTGGGAAGGCGGAGGGCGTAAAAGAGTCCGTGCAAGACGTCAACAAAGCAGACGTAAAATGCTCCTAACAGGGAGGATGGTTTTAATAACTCCAAAGCGGTTCTTGTGAACAAACGACCCTAAACACGCAAATACAGTATCATTTGCAGAGTACTTTGAGGTAATAAGTTCGCTAAAAACAAGTAATATGCGTCATATTATAAAGTATCTAAAAACTGTGCTCAAATATCTACTTTATTAACTATAGTTTGAATCGCATTGCTACATGTTTCAGCACGATTATAACATGAACATATGTGATAGACAGGTTATTTCACCTTGCACACACAGTGTTTTTGATGGTGATTCGCGTCTGTGTGTTAGACCTCATTTATCTCTCCGTCCAGCCTTCTTATCAGTGGCAGCAAATGGAGAAAAAAGTGCATTAGTTACACAGTAGCTATACGCTGTACAATGTAAGCCTGAGGTTGGCTACCATGACTTTCCACTGACCTTTAAATGTATCAGTATGTTGTCCCTAATCTCTTTTCCTTTAATGCTCGAGCTCATTATTAACACAAGTTTGGGGTCATTTGCAATTTAATGGTAAGGTCTTTCATCAAGTGCTAAAAGGACATATCAAGAATACCCTTAATGTAACAGCTATGGTGCCCTCAAGTGCTTTCGGATTTATTAATATCATGAAAGCACATGCAGAACACGCGGTGCCTTTTATGATTTTAGAGGCTTGATTGTGAAGATACCATTTTCCCTGTTATGATTCCGCTATAATGTTATTCGTGCATGTTTGAATATTTATATATATATATATATATATGGGTGTGTGTATGTGTGTATGTTCTATCTCTTCACGCAACTTCTAACCTGAATGTGCACTTTCTCTGGGTTTTTCCCTTACAACATGTACAGAACAAGACACTTGCTTTATATACTTTATTTATCTCTTACTTAAACGTTGTGTTAACATAGATAGGCAATGTAACTGCACGTGTTCTTGTTATGGTGTGTTAAGAGTCGGAAAGACGCATATTTTGAGGGTCCTTGAACGCAGCAAGAGAAGAGAGAGTTAGAGAAAGAGAGGTTGAGCGTGTGCGTGTGTGTGTGTGCGCGCGTGCGTCCAAGTATGTGTATGTGCGTGCATGCGTGTTGGGGGCGGGATGTAAGGGAATTGGCATGACAGTTCAAGACATTGTAGGTCTATTAATACGATATACAGCTACAACGTTATCAGTTGACTGGTTTCAAGACAGAATATATGGGCTATTTATGCTAAGAATCACATTTTATTCAAATACACTTCAGAGGCATGGACAATGATTTTTAATACCCACCCGTTTAGCATACACACAATTGAATCGGTAGGCGGATGTACTGTACACACACACCCGACACACCCGCCATCTCGACCTCGTTATATATTTATATATTGTAGGGGGCGTGGTCAGTGGAATCCGGCTCAGCCAATGGCGTGGCAGCGGGCGTTCCTTTCGGTTAGGAGGAGAAGTTGAACAGCGCGAGCCGAGACAGAGCTCTAGAAAGGCAGATAGAGAGGGAGCAGAGGCAACGGCCCTCTTCAGGAGGGGGGGCTTATTATAACAAATATACACACATGTGTGAACTGTTTGGCCGCACGATAGGGCACATGTGGATAACAGTAATTTTAGAAAAGCATACAACCGCGGCTTTACATTTAAAAAATGCCTATTTTACTCTTCCTGTTAGACACGTCCGCTTCTATGAATCAGCGCACTTATTTGGGTACGACGTATCTGGACGTTGCTAAAGGCGCGGTTGAGGTCTTTATGAAGGTAAAGAATGATTTACCCGATTTTTTTCCAGCAGTGTGCACCCTTGGTGGATAGGGTTCCTTGGGCAAGATCGGTCGAAATTAATATATGTTGTTTTGGTTTTCTTTTTTTGACAGCTGCGTGCCCGAGACCCGGCTAGTAGAGGCGACAGGTACATGCTAGTTACATTCGATGATCCACCATACGGAGTGAAGGTAATTAGCAACTGATACAGTTTTTACATTTGACCAGTCGAACGTATTTTTCTGTCAGTGAGACTTTATTGTCCTTCTGGTTTGTAGTCAGTGTTGGGCGGCTTCCCGGTGGCGAAAAAACGGCAATTTTTTGCTCCAAATAACCGCAGACCCGGAGCTGCACTGCCTCCGACCATCCAGCGGACATTTTGCTTTTGTGTTGAGCAAAGTCTCGGGCGTTGAGATGGAGGCGGAGAGATTTATTATCACCTATGACGTCGCTCTTTTTTTTAAAGTACAATGTTTTGATTGGTCAACGAGCCCGCCAATCACCATCTACTCCTCCTCTTGCACCATCCACGCATTACCATTGGCCAGTCTGGGCTGAAAGTTGATAAGCCCCATTCATCATGAGTTTTTTTTATGTGAGTTCGCTAGTAGAACATTATCATTATTCATTATTTGTCATACCGATACGATGTCCCAGCATACAAACACTTTACTTCTCATAGTCACACATACAAAACAACCAGACTTGCAAACTGTGATTCACTGCAATCATTTAAGGGGTTTTATGTCAGCAAAGCCATCCTCACCAGAAATCAATAGACTTGTGTTATGAGCTGGCACACATCTCTCTGAGGTTTTCATGCCCAATAAAAGACAATCCTTAGTACCCACATGAACCCCTAAGCCCCTGATGTGCTTTAGTGCCTGATCTGTGTTAGGACTAGGAGTATTTTAGCTTTTGTATAACTATCTTCAAAAGACTCAACACAATATGCAATTACTTACTCCCATCCCATTGATACTTACAACAGGTACATAATAGTTCGTTTTCCTTTGCTTTGGTTTTGTTATATCTCTACCCCTTTTAAATATTATTTCAATTAAAACCATCTGTGCACAAGAACATATGCCACTACAATACAGCCTTTATTACATGATAATAAAGTATATCATTTTACATTAATAATAATAATACATGAGACTTGTATAGCGCTTTTCTAGAAACTCAAAGACGCTTGACATTGTTCATTATATATATATGCTCAGGCTTTGGGATACATGAAAAAAGAGAATGTTTGAATAATGAAATATGGGCAAGGGGTGATAGTATTGGTGAAGTGACTTAAACATTGGAGCTTCAGTGTGCGAAATAATAATTTTTATTTTGCATGGTGATATAAATGCAACCCATACTTCATATAAATAAGCAGAGCTATTTTTGATAGCAGTTCCTTCCTTTTTTAAACATAATTATAAACAATCAACGGTTATTGAAATATATTTACTGCACTTTCATCACAGAGTTTTGAGTTATTAACTAATGTACAGTCTTGCTTATAGTTAATCAAAGCAGTGCAGGAAGCTAAACAACTGTTTTGTGTCGCTTGATGGACTTCCTAAAAAACATATTAAGCTCATTAACCCCATCACTAAAACATTATTATATACCTTCCTTTCTCCTACTGTAGGCCTATGTGTAGGACAGGGGTTATGAGTTGTTCCTACTTCACTCTGCCATTGACCTTGCAGCATGTGCCCAGATCATTGCTTCACTAAAATAATCTTGTGTAGCTATAACAACTAGAAGTGCACATCCCCTTGTTGTAAAGTCTGTTCTCAACTCCTCTCCCTCCTGCTCTTCCTCTCTTTGTCTTCATCTCCTTCTCCTTTGTTGTTTCTGCTGGCTCTGTACACTGAGGATTATGATGAAAGGACAAGGTTATACTGAATGGGGCTACTCTGATTGCACAGTTACAGAGGCAATACATTGTTGATGTAGAGGGAGAGAGAGGAGGCTGGGTGAGAGGAAAATAGAAATATTCTCTAGTCTGAATTATTGAGTGAAAGCTAAGCCTTACATTTTTACTGGCCTACACAAGGGTGTATGTCTGGGATATTATTATTCTACTACCCATGTTTATGTTTACACCTTGAGTTTTACCCAAGCTGCTCCGTGATGTTGCCGGCATGACTGTAAAATATGAATTTAACATCATGCAACACTTTTCTAGAAATTCCCTCGAATGCATGCCTTTGGAATGATACACAACCTATGTCACATTCTTTATTATTATATATACGCCATGTTTTTTAATTCTCAACTCCTCCCAAAAATGTTAACGTATAAACTTGATTTAAACAGCAACACGTTTATCTCTGTTATAACAACATGCACAGTATAACTTTTCTCTCTAATATCTTACCTACTTTTAAAGGGGCCCTATGATGCTATGATGTAGGTTCGTATTTGTATATTGTGCCTCTCCTGTGACATGTCTCCATGCTTTAATGTTCAAAAAGCTCTTTATTTTTCTCATACTGCCTGTGCTGCAGCACCTCTTCTCACCCTCTGTCTGAAACCAGAGTCCAGTCTGCTCTGATTGGTTAGCTGGCCGGCTCTGTTGTGATTGGTCAACCGCTTAGAGATGTCCCCTCCCTTAGCCTATCACATAAAATGTGTTGGAGCGCTAGCCAATAGAAGTGTGAATGTTACATAGTGATGTCATTATGTTAAGGAAGTAAACAAAGGAGTCCAATGGAGGCGTTTCAGACAGTGGGGGAGTGTGGGAGAGAAACTCTGGCCTCTGCAGACCATTTACGTGCACACAAACCTATATAACACACTGCAGGAAAGATAAATGACAAATAAGCAGAATATTTCACATGTAGCAGGAAAAATGATTCCTCATTTCAATAATAGACGACATGTTCATAATGTAAACATTCTCTCAAAATGTCATGCTCTTGAATTTAAAACAAATTCATTCATTCTTTGAGCCACTCAATCTTTAAATTGTCCAACAAATGTCATATAATAATGGGTTTTATTCAACTTGTAAACCCAATTAAAACTTTCCCTTTCTTTGACGCATTAAAGCCAGTAATTCAGTGTAGGGTCCACCAAATAAAATCCATCAGGTCATTTCTTCACTTCTTGGCATCTCCACTTCTCTATTACTCTTCATCTCTATCTGTGTGTTGAGCCTCCCACTCCTGATAGAGGAAGTAGTAATCTAGCAGGTCATCCTTAGATTAGGCATGATGCTGTAGTAAGGTACTTGACCTCGCTGGTGAAAATACCAAGAGAAGTTGCACAGCCACATCTTCCTGTAGGAGTATTTCTCCGTCACAGAGGACAGGCAGCAGTGGGAAATGTATTTCTGGATGCTTGTCAAGTATGAAATTAGACCCATTTTTTTTTAAATAAAAGCACCATCCAGCGCAAATGTGGGTCTTCAATTCAACTACAATATCTTCCATTTGCAGGATTTGACATAAGCTGATCTAATTGAATGGTTGCTGTTATGTCATGTTGCACAAAATGAACTGGTTGCTAAGATTTAAACTCCCCTAACCAAAGGTGGCAGTCACATGCTCGACAAGAATGAGGTTGTGGTTTTTCAGCGAACATAACTCGTTCTGTTTTTCTGAGTAATTACAGTGTACGGGTGTCTGTGGGCGTGGATCTATTTTGGTTTTGTGGCTGTTAACGGTGTACTGTATGCAGCAGGCCTCCTCAGTTGTAGTTCTGTCTGATGTTCAGCTCTCTGTGTGTGTGTGTGTGTGTGTGTGTGTGTGTGTGTGTGTGTGTGTGTGTGTGTGTGTGTGTGTGTGTGTGTGTGTGTGTGTGTGGTGTGTGTGTGTGTGTGTGTGTGTGTGTGTGTGGTGTGTGTGTGTGTGGTGTGTGTGTGTGGTGTGGTGTGTGTGTGTGTGTGTGTGTGTGTGTGTGTGTGTGTGTGTGTGTGTGTGTGTGTGTGTGTGTGTGTGTGTGTGTGTGTGTGTGTGTGTGTGTGTGTGTGTGTGTTCAGGCGGGCTGGAAAGAGAACCACTCCACCTTCATGTGCGAGCTGAAGAACCTGCAGGCGTCCGGCCTCACCACGTTAGGGCACGCTCTCCGCACAGCCTTCGACCTGCTCAACCTCAACCGCCTCGTCTCAGGCATCGACAACTACGGACAGGTATTACCATGGCAACCTAATGCATTTCTCAGCAGTTGCTATATGAGAAAACTAAAATAACTCTCATTACTATCTATAGTTCCAGTGTTGTGTTTCTAAGGGTTAACAGTTGTTTTAAATAAAGCTCAAACCATTAGTTAATTAAGGAATTGGTTAATCATCAGAAAAAGAATCCTCAATTATTCCCCAATTAACATTATTTCAAAGGCTTTATTTGTAACAGTAGCTACAGCAACGTTTTTGCAATGAACATTTAGTCTCAAGTTCTTCCCATAATGCAACAAATGATATATACCTATAAAAGTCATAAAAACAGTGCAATAAAATAGTGCACTAGTCAAAATGTTTGAGGTTAGTTGCAGAAATAAGAATACATATAAACATATAAAAAATAACAAGATAGTCAATCATTAACAAAATAGACAAACAAGCTATAATTAAGTTATAAACAGCCAAAACATACGGTATAATTGGACTTTCCCTTGATGGACAAATTATTTTTAAATATAGCAAAGCTTACAGATGGCATCATTCCTTTACCTTGAGAAAAGAAACAATATTAACTATTTATTTCAGCTTCATCCCCTCTCTTCCTCAGTTAGCACTGTGCTCAGCTCCTCTCACACACATCGCTTTCTTAACGCCAGAGAAAGATTACTAAGCTTGAGTAGTGTCACAAGTTCTGTGCATCTGTCAGTGTGAATCTACTACATCTCTGTGTGTGTGTGTGTGTATAATTGGTCAAGGCTGACCTCTACAGCACAGCGCTGGATGCCTTTATCCTTAATTAGTAACTCAAGGGCACTCTTCAGTGAACAAAAGTTCATATTGAAGGGGCCATATTCTGCTCTTTTTCAGGTTCAGATTAGTATTAAGAGCCTCTAGTGTGACATGTCTCCATGCTTTAATGTTCAAAAAGCTCTTTATTGTTCTCATACTGCCTGTGCTGCAGCACCTCTTTTCACCCTCTGTCTGAAACCAGAGCCCAGTCTGCTCTGATTGGTTAGCTGGCCGGCTCTGTTGTGATTAGTCAACCACTTAGAGATGTCCAAACCCTTAGCCTATCAGGTACAATGTTTTGGAGTGCTAGCCAGCGTGCCTGGTACATAGCGTTGTCACCGTGGAAGTAAACAAAGGATTCCAATCTGGCGAGAACTTTGGGATTTTAGCCTTTGCAGACCATTTAAGTGGACCTCTGTTTGATTACGGTATTATGTTAAAATGACTGTCAGCACGAGAGGCCAGTTACATATTATGTTTTGGGAGATTGGAAAAGTTTTAATACACTAAGTGCAGAACATTAAAGATTGCAGGCCAGTGAGAAAAAATGGGGTCACTGTTTGTGTGCACTTGTTTCTAATTTCCTAAAATGTCACTGTTTCCGTCTCAGGGCCGTAACCCCTTCTTCCTCGAGCCATCTGTGATCATCACCATCACTGATGGGAACAAGCTTACACACAGCTCTGGGGTGCCAGATGAGGTGAGAGCAAAAACAAATGCAGGCGTGCTACAGGTGGACTGTGTAATGACCCGAGTGATAACGTAGTATAACAGTGACCACTGGCAGATTTATTTTCTAAATATATATCATTTTTAAATGAGTTTCAAATACTGTTTGTACATGTTATCTATTATCGTTTGCCTAAAGGCCCCATCTTAAGATTTCTGAGAAAAATAAAAACATATTAATAACTAGGATCTATTTGATACATTAGCAAAGATAAAATCTGGCCTTTAGGGAGCTATCACACAGTCAACCCAGTTATCCCAGACACAAATAATTCAAATGTAAGGTTGACATGTTCTGCTCTTCATCTGAATGTCCATCCATGCATTTAAAGTTGGGCTCACCAGCGTTAACAATTTCCTCCCTAAGAGCATTTTTAACTACTACCAGCAATATATTTAATAAGTATTTGTCTGTTTTTAAGCCATTCTTGAAGTATGAGTTGGAAAAAATAAGATCATACTATCTGGCCACTGAAAATATTTTCTAAAATATGATGTATTCCTCTCTAGAAATCTTGCAATTCCAATTTGATAATGCAGTTGATATTTGCATTTTCAAAGTTTCTCCAGCACACTGGGGAGTTAGAATCATAGTGTGTAAAAAAAGAAACAACCTCATCAGCGTTTTCAACTAAACTCCCTCATGCAGTGATGCATCCATACAGAGTGGTGTAGAAATTAGTCCTAAAACACGGAAATTATTTAGCATTTCAGCCCTTCTGGTTTGCTCACCTTGAAGTCAATGTTTTTTTGAATGGGTTTTTGCTTAAATACCTGAACAAATAAATGTTAAAGTTGTGTTCTACAACATAAAATATGCAGGTTGAAGGTTTTACACATCTTTAAAAAATGGTGTTTCATCACCCCGAACACAAGTTTGCCATTCGCTTAGTGGCGATGACGTGAAGTCAGTGGACCATAATGTAGTTCCTTTATAGCCTAACGTTAGCATTTGCGCTTCATCTTCTATAAAAGAGACCTTGCAATGGTAACTTCCAGGTCTGCCTACAAAACACACAATCCCTGCACCACTCTATGTTGCCCATTCTTCTGCAGATGTCGTTATCCCTCCCATCTTATCCCAGTTAACTCCTCTCTATCTTCCCCCTCCCCCCCCCTGCAGCTGCACCTGCCTCTGAACTCTCCGTTGGCGGGCAGCGAGCTGACCAAGGAGCCCTTCCGCTGGGACCAGCGTCTGTTTGCGTTGGTGCTGCGGCTGCCAGGAGCGTCCACACCGGACACGGAGCAGCTCGGCAGCGTCCCCACAGACGAGTCCGCCATCACCCAGATGTGTGAAGTCACCGGAGGTTCGCCTTTCTCCTACTCACCCTAACATCTGTCCTGTATTTCCCACCAGCAGTTAGTTTCAGATTCAAGTTTTCTTTTACACTCATAATTCATTATTAGCTAAACACCTTCTTTAACTGTGCAATTCATCATTAGTATCTTTATTAATACTTATTAACAAATATCGCAAAAAAAACAAATATTGTAAAATACTAGGGCTGTCAAGTTAACGCGTTAATAACACGTTAACGCAACAATTTTTTAACGCCACTAATTATTTTAACGTGCGATTAACGCATGTGTATTTGTCCTCGGCCTGCCCCGTAGTTTCAGAGCCCAAAGGCTTGACGTTGTTGTTGTTGTTAGTTGGATGGAGGGAGATTCTAGCGAAAGATATGGATACAAAAAAAGGTGTTGACTCCTGCCGCTCGCTTGTGGCACACCACGCTTGAAAGTTTGCCGGGGAGACGCCTGGACAACAACAGCGATAGCTAAATGGGTGGCTACAGCTTAACATTGTGGAGGACGAGGGGCTGCGTTAGATAATTCGGATCGCATCCAACGTGTCGACTGCACATCACAGCGCATTATTTTGACCCACAGTGGGAACTTCAGTCTCATGCTTTGACTGAAGATGAAAACAGAGGAGCGGCATTTCGCCGATAACTGTAAACAGGCTTGTCTGTTTGAGCAACTGGCTCAGTGCAGAGAAGTACACAGGGTTGGGAGAGAGTGAAGAGAGAGAGAGAGAGAGAGGTTCCAGGTTGTTGTGTTGAGAATATTCAGGAGAATATTTGTCATCGTTCCAATGATAATAAACAAACATTTGCATAAAGCATATTTGTCCACTCATATGTTGATAAGAGTATTACAAATTTGAAAAATATTCCTCTAAGGTACATTTAGAACAGATGAAAAAATTGCGATTCATTTGTGATTAATCGCGATTAACTATGGACATCATGCGCTTAATCGCGATTAAATATTTTAATCGACTGACAGCCCTATAAAATACACATTTTGACATACTGAAGGAGCCAGAAAGTCAGAGTTGGGATTTCTGACGTATGATTTATTGGGTTTTTTAAATGTTTAAATGTTGGCATTGTTCTTTGTTTATAATATTATAACGTATTATTTCTGCATCAAATATGGGCGGGATCAGTTGGGTCACATGGGTATGGGCAACACCTCATTAAAGCAATATTTGTTCAATGCATTTTTGGATACCAGACTTAATTTTTGCTAGCGCAAACATACTATTGTTGTTTTATATTGAAGGATGTGCACATTTTTACTCTATCTTCATATGTTTTTTATTCATCTTTTTATTGCACATTTTTACTATTACTTATTTTTTCTTTAATAAATATGTTCTATTCTATTTTTGTTTTATCTTTTATTTAACATTTTCGCTTTAACCTTTTATGTTTATATTTAATTCAATTTGTTTTCACTTTATTTCTTTATATTTGTATATTTTATTCTAAAATGCAGCAACTGACACAAAACCCAATTCCCCCCAGGATAAAGGCATTCTGATTCTCATGATTGTTCCTGCTGTTTCCCTCAGGGCGGTCGTACTGTGTGCGGACTCAGAGGATGTTGAACCAGTGTCTGGAGTCTCTGGTCCAAAAGGTTCAAAGTGGTGTCGTCATTAATTTTGAGAAGACAGGGCCGGATCCGCCTCTCATTGGTGAAGGTGAGTAAAACACTGAAAGGACGCAACTACTTCAACTCTGAATTACCCTCTTAACATTGTTATGAATAAACAAATATTTCTGGTTGACATTCAAATTCTAAACCAACATTTGAAGGCTGCGCAGCCTTTTCTTTTTTGCATGTCATTCTTTTTTAACCCTCCTGTTGTCTTCGGGTCAAATCTGACCGATTTACTACTTTCATCAATCATAACTTTTTTGTTTTACATTCGATTGCATTAAGGCTTTATGATATCCTTCACAGTAGACATTTGAACATATCAAATTGCTGATCACAACTTTCATTGCATTTTGGATGATTTAGTCAACTTTGTAACACCCATGGTGTTCCCGGTCAAAAATGACCGCCATAAAGAAAAGGAATTAGTAACCATCCGGATCAGATAAAACACACACACACACACACACACACACACACACACACACACACACACACACACACACACACACACACACACACACACACACACACACACACACACACACACACACACACACACACACACACACACACACACACACACACACACACACACACACACACACACACACACACACATACTCTAGATGTCCCCCCCCCTTATGTGCCCAATCCCCCCATGTGAATCACACCTGGCAAACACAAACGCACAGAACAATTTGACACATTTCCCGCTCTTATGTGCCCATCCCCCCACATGGATCACACCTGGCACACGCAATACATGTTCAGTGTCTATTCTTTGTATATTTACTGCAGTTTTTTATGTATACCAGTTGTCTGATACAATATTTACAGTTTGAAAGGGTGTTAAATGACATTTGGTGATGATTAATGGTTTTTGTGTTAATGTAATAGCAGTTAAAACAGGATCGGTCAAATTTGACCGCGAACACCAAAGTAAGGGGGAAACGAAGACAATAGGAGGGTTAAACCAGAATTTCTCCCCAGTTGCAGAAAAAGACAAGGCTAATAGTATTGGAGTTATACTATCTAATATAAATAGATGCTAGCTGCGTAGGACTGTTTACTACTGTGATCAGAACATCTTCCATCCAACAATATATCCTGCGTCAATTCATACTGTCATCCAAAAGCATTTAAAAAAAATATTATGGTTAAAAAACGTTTTTTTCTCCCGACTGCAGCACTCAAAGGGACGCCTGTATTAAAGGCACTATAATCACATTTATATCACCACAACAATAACAATGTGATGACATTATAAAATACGACGACAGGCTTTCAAAGCCTAATTGGAAAACGTTAATATAATCCTTCAATAAATAAAGATACATGAAGTACAGCTCTACATACAAACATATGTATATGAAGAACAGTAAACACAGAAGCAGTCATGACATTTTGATCAACAGAAACGTTTCCAGTCAAGCGCATAAAACAAGAGTTTCTGAACAATGAATGTCATCACATTCTAAGGTTAGAGCAAAGACACCGTGGGGAGAAAGGTGAAAGCAGAAGAGAATCTTCTTATCTTCTATCCCCACAGTGCAGTTCACTACTAAAAGGAGAACTGAATGCATTTTCTACACAAACCAAACATAGAGGAGTATACAAATATGGCTAGGGGAGGAAATGTTGTGAGATAACGAGTCACACATTATTTTACTGGTAGAAGAAGAGTTATATGTTCTTGCTTAAAAAAAAAAGTTTGAACAAAAAATGTACTGTAAGGTACATCAGAGGTTTAAAAAACATTTTGGAAGTGATTAGAGCGTATTAAGTGTTTCCCCTAGGTTTACTGCTTTGGGGGGGTGCAGCCTGAGCGGTGGGGGTGGGGGGGAGGGGTGGCATTGGGATATCTATTTTTAAAATACTCTGGAGAGGAGCTGTGGATTATTGTTATTGATTAATGCATCAGTGTTTCTTAGGGTCAAAAACACTAAACTCACAACTTAAAATGAAAGCGTTTAGTTTATTTAATAAAAGAGCTCATGTTCAATGTGAAAAGTGACAGTAGATATAGATTAGTTGCAATTTGGTGCTATAAATATATATATATATATATATATATATATATATATATTAAAAAATATAAAGAAAAAAATTATAATTATTTTTATTTTTTTAACACCTTGAATTTCAGGGGGGGCGTGGGGCTCCGTTGGCGGGGCGCAGCGCCCCTCCAAGACAATGGTAGGGGAAACACTGGTATTCACATTCATGGGAATGATAGGCAAGAACACAGAAATACTTTGTTCTTCAAGAAAAAGTCCCAACCTGTTATTTCCTCTAAAACCAAAAACGGACTTATGGATATCAGGGCTTTTTCTCCAATTCAGAACAACTCTTTGCATTATTTGTTAGAGAAATGTATTCTCCCTTATATGATATATGTTTTTGTATTTAAAGAGAACTCCGCAGAGCCAAGTCGTCCCGTGTCTTCCTTCAGCGCTCAGCCGTGGCACAGCTGCCACAAACTCATCTACGTGAGACCAAACCCCAAGACGGGGGTCCCGGTCGGGCACTGGCCCATCCCAGAGTCCTTCTGGCCCGACCAGAACTCTCCCAACCTGGTGAGCAGAGAGATGCTTAAAAATAAAAATGTTTGCACCCACTTCACGTTTTCTTCTTCGTTCAGCAAATATAAACGAGTGTCTTGCTCATCAGTCCAAACTCACCCTGTGATCCTAATTATCTGTTGCTTTTACAAAGACGCCACACGGAGACCATTCCTCAGATAATTATGTTATGTTTAACGACTTCTTCAATTAACTCCATCCCCTGCCCGCAGCCCCCCCGCTCTGCCCATCCTGTGGTGCGGTTCTCCTGTGTGGACTGCGAGCCCATGGTGATCGACAAGCTTCCCTTTGACAAGTACGAGCTGGAGCCCTCCCCCCTCACCCAGTTCATCCTGGAGAGGAAGTCTCCTCACATGTGCTGGCAGGTATGGCAGATGTTCACACTCACTAACAATCAGCTTGTTGTCCACTATCTGCGCTTATGCCTTCGGGACTTTTCTCAAAACTGGAAACAATGAGGTTTCTCGCTTTATTTATCATATATTTCCACCTTTTGGTAGTTTTGAATTAGTGATTGAGCCTCACTTATTGATAGGGCTGCAAATACCAGATTACTTTAATTATTGATTTATCTGCATTTTTCCTTTTTAGATAGCTTGGTCTACAAAATGTAAAAAATACAAAATAGTGAAAAATGTCCATCTTAGCTTGTTGTCTTTAAATGTGTTTTTTTTTTTAACACATTCAGTTTAATATGATATAACAGATAAAAGCAGGCAATCTCTATTTCAGAGGCTGAAAACATAATTTTCTGCCATTTTTGCATGAAAAATTACTTTAATGATGAATTGTTTATCTAAATAGTTGGTGGATATTATCTGTCGATCCTCTAGTTAATCAGCCTACAAATTGTTGCAGTTCTACTTACGAAGTTTGGACAAGTTAAATATAGAAAACCCAATGAAAAAAACGGTATTTAATATTTTCCTTTGTCTCCTCAGGTGTTTGTTAGCAGCAGCGGGAAGCCCAGTGAGATGGGACAGCCTTTCGGCTACCTCAAAGCCAGCACCACTCTCACCTGTGTCAACCTGTTCGTCATGCCGTTCAACTACCCCGTGCTGCTCCCCCTGCTCGGTAAGACACACGGCCGCAAACAGCTCCTCTAAAGTGGCCTCAAAACTTCTAGGTCACTAGGTCTGAGCTTATTTTACATTTAAACATTTCTTTCTGGGTCATTTCTTCATATGAAACCTTTTTAACACACTCATCTTTAGCTATAAACACTAACATATATAGTCTAACAACAGCTACACTCATAAACTATTATTCCTAAATAATAATGTGCATAGCTCATAAAAACATTTGCCCTCTTGTGAGTTATCCAACTGTTTTTAATCAAAAGAGTTTTATGGTAAAATAACAACTCACTTTATGATAAAATACTTTCCTTTAACATATCAAAAAAAGAAGGGGGGGGGGATTTCACATACAAAGCAATGCACAGGGGCTGAAATAATACTAAATACCAACACAATTAAAATAAAGAGAAAAATAAATGTAATGCAAGCAATGTACAGATTACAATTGACTATAGCCCTTTATTATCATTTATTTTATTTTAACCAAAAACCATAAAAGTCTGTTTTTTATTCAAGACATGCATATTTTATAACTGAACTAATGAAAGTCAAAATTAGAAGCAACAATTAACATAATGTTGTGTAATATTATTTTCGGAGTAATGGTAGTGTTTTGAGCTGATGAGTGTACAGCAGCAGGATGTGCAGGTGGATGGCTGACTCCTCCTTTGTGTCTCCTTCCAGATGATTTATTCAAAGTGCACAAACTAAAACCAAACCTGAAGTGGAGACAGTCGTTCGAGATGTACCTGAAGACAATGCCTCCATACTTCCTCTTGGTAAACCACCTACACTGCCTTCAGTAACAGTGCACTGCATGGATTTGTATTGTTCTAACTAACCATAATGTCCTCTTGCTATCTTCTGACAGCCCTTAAAGAAGGCGCTGAGGATGATGGGTGCCCCTAATCTCATTGCAGACACTATGGACTGCGGCCTGAGTTACAGTGTCATCTCTTACCTGAAGAAGCTCAGCCAGCAGGTACACACTTTGAGTTGTTCATTATTTATAGTACAAATATAAATGTGTAAATATTAAAATTGTAAGTTTAACTACTAGTTTATACATACTAAATCAAGTATTTATATATAATAAATAAAGTATCCTACGGTCATATTTTATTAGTAGTAGCTTGGTCTATTATGTTGTATTCTATATATATATATCTTTCTAAGGTGGAAATGTATATACTTACTATTTATTTTATTTTTAAACTAATTTAGGGCCACACGACTAATCAAAATGTTATCGAAATCGCAATTTTAACTTTAAATTGTTTAATGCTAACAGTTAAAATAACATTTTGTAGGAAATATTGTAACAAATTGTGTTCTACAGAATTAACCCATATATTGTTCGGTACAGACACTCTTAAAAAATCACACCACGATCATTTTCATATATTTTTCAATGATGATCAGAATAATGATGCAATATGATCAATCTCTCCAATATCGTGAATTATAGCGCAATTGCAAAGGCAGTAAAAAATAAACGCAGATAGCTATTTCTTCCAAAATGTGCAGCACTAAACATCTGCAATCCCATGTTAACCAGCTGCTGCTTTTACAAAATGAATCTCCCAGTTTGGGATCAATAAGGTACATGTAGTCAAGGTAAAAATAATCCATGAAGAAGAATCAACATAGGAAGGTGAACCCCAGCATGCTTTGGTGTGTTCCTGCTCTAAGAAATGTTCCTGTTTTGTTGGTCCAAAGGCAAAGATGGAATCAGATCGTCTCATCGTGTCTGTGGGGAAGAAGGCTCCCCAGGAAACGGGCATCAAGGTGAAGAACCACTCCACCACGCTCTCTCTGGCCCACCGGCGGGACTTCCAGCAGCTGCTGCAGGGCATCACCGGGGAGGGCCCGCTGCGCCTGGCCGACATGAACTTCAAAGAGTTCGCTGGCTTCCAGATCGCCCTGCTCAACAAGGTAGGGTTTTTTAAATGCACCACTTAGTGTTGGGGGGCAAGTCCAGTGTTTGCTGGAGGTTTTTTTCTGACGAGATATGCTGATGTGTTTACAGGATCTCAAACCTCAAGCTTATCGAAATGCGTACGACATCCCGAGGCGGAATCTTCTGGATCAACTCACGAGGATGCGCTCCAACTTGCTGCGGACGTCGCAAAAACTGATCCGAGGGCAAGACGAAGGTATAAAATCACACTGGAAAGCAGGGTTCCCAACGATAATTACAAATCTTAAAATGCATTGAATTTATCAACCTAAAAACGTGGCCTTATCTGGTTTGAAATAAATAAATAAAATATTTTAAAGTCTGAAAAATGCTAACACAATCGTTTTTTATGACATTGCAATCAAGAATCCTCAAATAGTTGGTTATAGGCTCATTTTAAAAATAATGACTGAATGCATTAACAGATGTATATTGTGGAACCAACAGCAATCATATTTTGATTCTTATTTGCAGCAATGAAATATTTTATATATCTAAAAATGTTGGTGAAATTTCTCCACAATTGTAAATAAATGGTGTTTGTTTCATAATTTAGGTGGCTTTGCAATGCAGTTGCTTCGTCAATTGAAATTATATTAACCCCAATTTACAAATACCGCATATACAGTACTAAGTTAGTACTAATAATACTTCCTGTGGTTGTCAGACTATCTGCACAGTATCCCGGTGGCTCAGATGGGAAACTATCAGGAGTATCTCAAAATGATGCCGTCTCCTCTGAGAGAGATCGACCCCGACCAACCTAAGCGCCTGCACACATTCGGGAATCCTTTCAAGCAGGACAAGAAGGTACAAATACATCACTGCAAAATACTGCCTCAAACTTCTTACCATAAGGTGCATATTCATTAAATATTTAATCCCTTCTTACTTTTTTGTTTGTTTTCCTGCATGTTTATCCCAGGGGCTGATGATCGACGAGGCAGATGAGTTCGTAGCGGGCCCTCAAAGCAAGAAAAGAGGAAATTCCAACGATTCAAACTTGAGTACGACGATGAAGAGGAGGCGGAGCATGTCCCCGTTACTGCGGCGACCGCAAACTCCACCAGTGAACAACAACCACGTGCCGGCAGGGAAGAGTCCTGCTGCTGTTCAAGGGCAGCAGAACCTCATAAAACCCATCCCACTGCACAAAGGTGAGATGTACATGAGACTATATTTTAGACCCGAAAGTAAGCATTGCAAGGGCTCCCGCGACAAAACACGATGGGATTTTAGATTATTGAAGAAAATATACTTTGTAGCAAACTCACATTAATGATACTTACACTTTTTGTTCAGCAGGATAATCTCCACATATTAACACCACTTTTATAAAAGTTGAAGCTTAAATCCAATCACTAGAAGTAAAAAGCTAACGCTACAGCTAAGCTATAAGCAAGCTACATCATGTCACATGAAATAGCGTTACCACCGCTAAGCTAAAGGTGGCTAATGTTCGGCGTGATTACGTTTAGTGGTTTCATTTAGCCACTCGTTAGCATTATCATGACTCATAGGAGCTTCATGTTGTCTCCAACAAAACGTGGCAATTTTGTAAGCTTGTGTTAACCACAGACATTATTTTGATCCAAAAGATAATCAAAAAACATTGACTTCAAGACAATGGACTGGAAGGGCCAAAATGCTAGCTCATTCCCTAGTTTCAGAACTCATTCCTGCACCACTCACACATGTGTTACCCCTGTAGGAGAGGATGACAACAACATGTTGGTCGCTGAGAGTAACGGTGACGGGGAGCCAGAGTCGGGGGGGATCTGGCCCGCCGAGGTGGACGCTGTAGCTGAGACCCCTTCGTCTCCACTGAGCCTCGAGGAGAAGACGGAGCCGGGGGCAGCAGACGAGACGGAGGACGTAGACATGATGGAGGACAGACTAGAGGACAGACTAGAGGGCAGACTAGAGGACAGACTAGAGGACAGACTAGAGGACAGACTAGAGGGCAGACTAGAGGGCAGACTAGAGGGCAGACTAGAGGGCAGACTAGAGGACACACTAGAGGAAGACAGTCTAGATGAGGAGGTGGAGAGACTCAACTGTGACCGACTGAGCCCCCAGAGCCAGATGGAAGACCCTGAAGAGGACCCTGAAGCGGACCCCGAGACGCTGCAGCCCATCTTCATCGCCCCGCTGGACGGCAGCCAGGCGGAGCTGAAGAGTCAGATCATCAAGGAGGTCCGCAAACCTGGGAGAAGTGAGTGTGAGCAGCGCTGCATCACATTAAGATTATTGTAATCTGATAACGTGGGGGTCACAGCTCTTCACTGCTCTGTGTTTTTCTTTCTCAGACCATGAATCAATACTCGGTCTACTGCAGCAGGTGAAAGGACCAGTGGATGTTCAGAAGTACTTCATCCAACACGCTATCAGAGAGGCCGCCAGGTAAGACACATTAACTCATTTTAGAATTAGTAGTATACGGGAAAGTAAATTAGATGAATTAAAAATGTTGCCACCTTTTATATCAGGGGTGTCCAAACTACATTTTTAATCGGCCCTCAGCAAATTAAAAAAGTATAATGAAATATGGCCCACAAATGAAAATGGTGGTTTTCTTATATTGTACTTCTTAAATATATATGTACAAATATATATTACACAGTAGTATTCATGTGTTAATAAGCCCACTTTTAAAATAAATTCAGTCAATTAATGTTGAAAACATTTTCTAACAAATCTTTAAAAAAACCCAATAACTTATTTACATAACAATCTTGAAATAGACCCTTCATATTTAATCTGATTATAATCACTGAGCCAACAAGATAAATGAAACCCCATAGAGAGCTGTGATGTAGGCGGTTTTTATCTTAAAGCATATTCATGTATCAAGCCTAATTTACCTACATTTTGCCAACTTATAACTTAACTTACGAGGAAATATACCTCACCTCTATAAGTGGCCCAGCCCTTCGTATATCTTTCTGTACGTGGCCCTCGGTGAAAAAAGTTTGGACACCCCTGTTTTATATGGATGTCCAATAAGAGTTGATGGTAACGGAAGTTGATTGAAGCAATACATTGAGTGTGCGCTACATTGCCCTAGAAAGCAGAATGCTTCCTGTGTGACATTGACTTAGTTTGGTGCAAGTAAAAAATTCAGGCTATTTCAGCTTCGGTTTCGTTGGGTAGCCAGGGAGTGCCATGCATAAATTCATTGTGTAAATACAAAAATAAACCTTGAAAAACAACCCAGAACTTCTTTGTTCTGTTTACTTCTATTGCAAAATGAATGCAAGCTTAGGGCATAGGATGTTATGTCAGATATTCAGCTACTTTTGTCGGAGATGGGCATCTGAAACTTGCATGCAATGCATTCTGGTACATGTAGGCACTACCAATCAGCTATTTTGCTCAATACAACACTAAAAAAGTAATGTTTTGCCTCAATTGACTATATTAGCCATCAACCATTATTGGACATCTACTTACAGATGGCAAATTGTCCATTTAGATTATCAAAATAATCCTGTCACTTGCAGGTTCATCATTTTGACATGTACCAGTGCGATATGTATTGTCCTTGAAGCAGGTTCAATGAATCTCCTCTTTTGTTATGTTTGCAAGTGTGCTCCCTTTGTTTCCTGCTTGTTTTCTAACTCCCTTGTCCTCTCTGGCAGGTTTAAGAAGCGGGTTCTGATCCAGCAGCTGGAGACGTCCCTCGCTGAGCTGGGAGAGAAGCAAGCGCCCCCCCAGAGCTTCCCAATGATAACGGCAGCAGTTAGTGATGAAGACACATTTTCTTTGTTAGTAAAAAAGGGAATAAAGCTCTTATCTTGTTGACCATTTCACTCACAGCAATAGAGACGTCCCTGTCGACTGGGCATCAAGAAGACAGATTGAGGAACTGGGGGTTCAGCGGGGTGGGGGTTGATAGGAATCCCTCCCACTCTACATGTGCTGAGAGTAATGGATCCACTGAGGATGAGGAGAGACTCTAAAGTGTAATCCTCTTCATATTGACTGACAGCATGCCTTAAACATCCATATGGCTTTTGTCTGTATCGGCACATTGTTCAGTACCACACACACACACACACCCACACACACACACCACAACACACACACCACACACACACACACACACACACACACACACACACACACCACACACACACACACATTCACACACACCACACACACACCCACACACACAACACACACACCACAACACAACACCCAACACACACAACACCACACACACCACACACATCCACACCAACACACACACACACCCACACACCACACACCACACACACACCACACAACACACACACACCACACACACACCACACACACACACACAACCACACCACACACCACACACACACACACAGTCAGGCAATAAGCCGTCAGATCCTCCCAATGGCAGAGGCAAGGGATGGGACAGGTACATTCCCCAAGTTATTGTTATTGTTTTTTTAGAAAAAACTGCTCCTTTTTCAGCTGGTCTGAAAAAGTTAACCTTTTTTTCTAAATAATCAAATGTTTTGCAATCATGGCTAACAGCTCCACCTCATACCTCCAGTGTCATATCGGCAGAAAAGACTCACTGATGCTTTTTTAACAAATACATACCGTTACCAACATTTTGTTTCCACTTCATGTCAGCTGATACCAATATGCGCCAGGATAAGCGTGGGCGATATGGATACAGATCTATGAGCCTATGTTTTATGTTGCATTAGCAAGATATATCGTGATATATATCACATATTTGCTGGTCATTCAATTATATAACCCACATTTTTTGTGGGTTATATAATTTTTTTTATATCCCGACTCATGGTATGTTTTGTCATATCGCCAAACCTAAATTAACACGTAAATAAAACTCCTTAATCTAATGAATAAGCTTTATAAAATTGGATCCATTTTGTTACTAAATTGACAGTTGTATTGACATAAAACAATTTCCACACACTAGTGTTTTAAGGCTCGAATTGATGAACGCCAATAGTATAAAGATGAATCAGCATTTGCACTGGACATGTCCACTATACTTTTGTGTTCTCATTACTATCCTATTACCTGCCATTACAGCAATAGGACATGAGGTCAGTGAACGCATCTGTCGGTGTCCATTCAGAGTTTACCTCTCCCACAGAGTCCACACATTTCTTCCACAAACACTCCATTGATTCCCAGAATTCAAACGGCCCCAGTGCTCAGTCACCTGTTGGGACTTTTAACAGCTGGTGAATTCGCTTTCGACATCAACACAAGTTAGCGCTCCTCCTTTTTGTTTTCCTTGTTTTTACGACAGATGTACACTACTTTTTAATGTTCATAAGGAATATAGATTATTTTTGTGAATTTGTTTATTTCAGAGTATAAGAAATATTTTGAATGAAATGTTTAAAGCCAATTTTGTAAACTGTTAAATATATAAAACGGAAAAGTTTTATGAATCTACCATTTTTTTTACAAAACAAAAAATAAACCAGATAGAATGGTATCTCCCGTTGTGTGTCTGTTTATTTCTACCTCGTCTGAAACATAAAATGCAGAAACAGCTTCACATCTTGCATTATTAACAAATGTTTGTTTCATAAATGGAACGCAGCCGCTCCTCGGTAAAACTCAGCATCTACATGAACCATATTTTAAACTATGTAACTTACGTGTCCAACAGAAGAGTGACTTGTTTTATTGTATCTGAATGATATTAGACTGAAAGATAACATTGTGTTATAGTTATGAGGAAAACAAATGTATATAGTCTTTGAAAAAAAAAAAGAAGCTGAACAGAAAGATTCAAATCCAAAAAGAAAAACCGATTTACGTTTTTTTCTTCCTATATTGTTATTTAAGAAACAAAAGCAAAAATGCCTTTCTACAATATTCAGAACAAAAATAAGTCCTTTAATGAAGGCAACAGTTTCATCTGTATTTCATTAGATTGATCCGTATTTCAAAAATAAACTGCCTATATTATTATTTAAACCGAGTTAAAGTCACCGCAAATGAGGGGTCCATTGACATAAAACACCTGTTGTAGAAATATAACGGTTATTGACTTTGTAACCCAGACTAAAAACTCAGCTTCTGCTGCCACCTAGAGGCCGACATGAAAACGTGATCGGGTGGACATTTTTCTTCTTCTGATGCAGCAGTCAAGCAACAAGGTCATTGGAAAATGTTTGAATTTTCATTGTTACACTAACAATGTCCATTTCTATGGCAGAAGGACTTTAATCTGTGATAAAATTACATTTATTACACATTTGTCAAGAAGAGAGCACTAATATCTCGCCGTTTCCTCTTTTTTACAGCATAGATTTCATCCCTTTTGTCAGGCCAAAGCAATACTCCAGCCTCCGAATATGAAATGTAAGACAAAATAAATACATTGACACTTTGTAAAATCAGTAAGCCTTTTATTAAATTAAAAACATATGTTGAATCTTAACAAAATGTAAAATGAAGGAAAAACAAACTTCACCAAAATGAATGTACCTATACTTTCTAGTTCTCATTAGTGTTCACAGTATCAGTGGAACGGCTGCCTAACGCTTTCTTCTGCTCTTACATCTCGCCTTGAGTGGATTTCCTGTGGCATAAAGCAGAACCTCTTTAATGCAAACAGGAAGTAAAGATGAGCCTTTATGCTTCCAGGAAACCATCAAGGGAATTAAAAGGCCCCGGTTCATACAACAAAACTCATTTCAGTTCACAAAATGCTGGCCCAGACGGTGGCTGAGGACTGATGGTGCGGTTGAAATGAAACAGTAACAGGCATTTTTTTGCCCCTCATACAAAGGATATACAAAGGACAGCAATATCCCAATTTGAGTTCAGAAGGGACAAAAAGGGGCAGAGGTCTCCGTATCTTAAGACTCCAAAGCGATTACATACTGTATATACAAACAAATCGGCTTGAAAAGTTGAAGGGTTGGCACAGTCAGTGTTGAGTATGGTTGGTGACCACTTTTATGGACAGAGATGCATGTTTGGACAGCATATTAGTTTATGTACAAAAACAAATTAAAGTCGAGGAAGGCGGACTCCCCCTTCTGTCTAACAAAAACAAATGTTAACTGACGTTGTTGGTGTTACAGGCAGGAAAGGCCAGTCTCAGTGCAAATTCTCCAGCTTGCGTAGCCGTAAGGGGTTTGGGAGCGCTTGGTTGCGTGCGGAGGACGGCTCCTCTTCCAGCGTGCGGAATAGCACCCGACCCCGGTGGTTGAAAAGGTAAAAGGATGGGTGGTTCCTCAGTGTATCAAATGTTCTGGAAAAATGAAGATTAAGATGTAAAAAGACTGACATGGAGCAAATATTGTTCTGCTTTCAAATGAAATACAGGTGCAATTCAGAGCAGTGAGCAATGCAATCATCGTGTAACTGACAAGTGTTCTTGGCAAGCTATGATACAAAGTAGAAATCAATCTTTCAAATTTAAGGCAATGGATGTTAATTATAAGCTCTATTTTGGGCAGGTATCAAGGTAGTCACTGGTATAAATAAATAATAATCATAAGAATAATAACAATAGTAATATTGAAACAGGACATTTATATAGCTCTTTTCAAAGTGCGATTGAGGTATTAGTCAAAGGGGCAACAAAAATGTGGGGTTGTGTCTATAACCGACTCAAAAATAGGCATTTATAGAATACTAATATATAAGAAAAACATCCTACCCTGGTTATGTATAATTATACATTTCACATTTTAGAAACATAAGTTAGACAAAGCAAGTATACTTGACCACACTATGACTGTTTCCTAAGAGTCTAATTTCTACAATTGTGTACGATGACATCATGTAGTTTTAACGCTCATAAAACAGCTTAAGATAGCCAAAATAATTATATAAGTTCAAAACCCCTTTAGATCTAAATTATTATGGATGATTGGCCCATTTTTTGAAAATGTTCATGTTTATGAATTTGAGAGAAAAATAGAGTTAATGAAATCTGAAAATATTGAGTTTAACTATTTTGTGTCTTTAGTTTAAGAAATGTCCAGTTCGTCACAGCATACATTTTATTATTTGCCAAATCTGTCTGAAGTGTTTACTATTTACATTATGGTTAAAGATTATTAAAACCACTCCTATAGTGATGGATTTTAAGTTGCATCTAGCCTTCAAGACATATTGGCCCCAAATAAGAAACAGCAGCTTGGGGAGGTTCATTGTGTATCTCAGGGAATTGATTCAAACTGTTACTATAAATGCAGTTAAGCCCGATTCCCTTATGGCAGACGACACAAACAACCTAATTATCATGGGAGATGGTGCTGCAACTCAACTTACTTGTTTTTGAGCTCTGAGGAGGCATCCATGTCTTTGAACTCTCCAGCAATGTTGACAATACCGTAACAGGTCATCACAAACGATAATAAGGTCTGTAATACAATCTGCAGGAACAAAGACGATGATATAGCACATACTTTTGGGGTTTGTTGTCAAAGGTTAAGACAATATGAGTAACTTACATCAATGGGTAGTGTCTCATCTTCCTTCTCTGTGAGTCGCATGTATGATCGATCTGATGGGAGTAAAAAATATATATATATAATATATACAGCTCAGATGGATTGATAAGCTAAAGATGAAAGAAACCTTTTATCCATACAACAACTCTAAAATAAAATGTAAATAAACAACCTGCTGAGCAATAAAAATTTTATTTGTATATACTTTGCATATATCATTTATGTAGAAGATGAACGGTTTTGGGCCTAATACTGACCCCTGGGGTACTCTACAATTAACATACATATGGTGATTTATGCTAATCTTATTAAGTGCATGCCTGTTTCATAGATAGCTTCTACTCTAATCCAGGACAACCCCTCTTTTATTATATCACCTTTAAACATTTTGAGTAATTTAACATAATCAATGGTATCAAATGCTTTTTTAAAATCTATAACTTCATATTTTTTGTCAGTAGAATTAGGAAACATTTTTATAAATCCAAGTAAGAATGAAAGGAAACAGGCCTGTAATTACATTGTAAAATGGTGTCTATTTCCAGCTTTATGTAAAGGGTTAGTTTTTTTCCCATTTAGCTTGGAACTCAAGCAGTTTGGAAATATGAAGACACATGTAAAGGTTTTACAAT